CTGTGGGAGTGGTTAAGAGGGACATTTGACTCATCTGAATAATACACTTACCAATAGCCATGAAAATTTCATTCACATTCATGGCAGTCTTGGCTGAGGTCTCCATGAAGAGTAGACTGTTGTCATCAGCATACGTTTGTGCCTCCTAAGGATATTGTTTGTATGGTACAGTTTAGGACAATTTAATGATATAATAAATTCAGGATGAGGATTTGAATACCTGTAATCATTTTGTTGTTGAATTGATTCATATCTATGCATCTTCATACCTGAAGCTCTACAGCTCTCTTGTTTGCGATGTCCGCCTTGTTGCCTGCCAGAGCAATCACTATGTTAGGACTGGCTTGTCTCTGCAGCTCCTTCACCCAGTTTTTCGCCCGTCCGAAAGTATCCTAATGAAGCAATCAAGCAAGAAACTTTATTATTATTACTCTTACCTAATGTATTCACATGACAATCATATTCAAATGTGGCAGAACATTTTTACTTTTTAGCATAAACCATGACCAACATCTGACCTGAAGACATGACCTCAAAAAACTCACAGGTAATGTAATTACATTAAAATTGCAGTGTGTTGTATCCAAAATACTTCCTTAAGATATTCTAAGATATTTACCTCTGATCAACATATTTTGTCTTAACCCTTTAAAAGTTAACAATGAATTTGACAAAAGTCAGAAAAAAAAAATTAAACACTATGCCATTATGAAACAGCTATTTGATCAACAAACCATCAGAGTTCATTGTATTTTTTCTGACAGCTCCCCATTGTTACCCAGCAGCCGAAACCTACTGTGTTGGTAATGTCGTAGACCACGATGGCCGCCTGAGCTCCTCTGTAGTACATAGGAGCCAGGCTGTGGTAGCGCTCCTGACCCGCTGTGTCCCAGATCTCAAACTTCACAGTGGTGTCGTCCAGACAAACAGTCTGAGTGAGGAAGGCAGCTGAGGAGAGCCGGACAATGAGGATAAGTGGAATGATAAAATATTAGGACCATGAACCTTTCCATCTTCCCTGAAGATCCTGTTAATGTTTGAGGTACATAAACACTTAAGGGATGTGCATTGCCTCACAACCTCCACGCCATTCACAACAGCACCAACAAATCTGTGCAAAACCGTGCCGCTTACATCTTCTGAAATGAGATTCATTAAATGAGCATCACTTTTTTTTTCGATGGAAGTTCATTCTTGACCTTAGTAAAAGTACAGCTTAGACCTTTTTCATATTATTTGGGGCTTGGTATCAAAGCCAAATTTTGTTTTTGGTACCAACCAAAATGTATCTTTAATGTTATATGTCAAAATTGGTCAAGCATCAATAACTGGAACAGACTGTGTGGTCAAATCTGTAATCTTATTCACTTAAGAATGAAATGAATCGTTCTTGATATAAATCTAAATCTAAAAATATTTATTCAGCCAAAGTTCTTGTATAGGTTCTTGTGTTTCCATTTAATTTTACATTTTATATTTCTTAAAGAACATTATCAACAAAAGCATCATTTTTTTATCAGTGCGCAAAGTTTGATTTTCCATTGACACTAGTACACTTACATTTCATACACATAACACCACAATCTACCGACTGAGAGACGCAAAGCTTTCAAACAACATGCACTCTTTCAAAAGTTTAGAAGCACATTTCTGACGCCTACCTCCAATGGTACTCTCCTGGAATTCGTGGAACTGGCCTTTGACAAAGCGCAGCACTAAGCTGGACTTGCCCACTGCCGACTCCCCCAGCAGCACCAGTTTGAACTGGCAGATTTTGTTTGCTGCTGTGGCACCATTGGGCCTGGTTGCTCCTCCACCGCGCCCAGCCATTGACAGAGACAGAAATTGTTATGGATGGAGACGGCCTGACACTACCAGCTAACAGGTTGTAAAGACAGGAGCCGACTCTGGACACACAGGCACGGCTGGTTAGTGAGGTCAAGGATCAATCTTCTGGTGGGAAGAACTGGATTGGGCAGACAGAGTTTGGCATTCACAGTTTTGCAGAGCCCAGTGCGATGTCTTCAATGTCCTTTACTTGTTTGGGCAACAGTGCTCAACCTTAAGATATGACACAGAAAATAAGCAAACAAGCTGAATCCAGAGAATATGTGGCATTTTTGTTTGAAAATTAAAGCATCAATTAATGATAAAAATAGGTGCAGATTCATTTTCAAATGTCTAATCCTTGCACCTCTACAGCACAAAGAAAATATGTTTGATATCTTCACTGAAACACATTAAAATATTCCCATACTAAATAATTGGTCGAGCTGTTATAATATCAGGGTAAAGGTGTAGCTAAAGTAAAATAAGATAAAAGAAAAGAGTTTGATGTGCAGCACCTTGTACGACACAGACTGTTCAAAGTTTTTTTTATGAGAGCAGACACTTGGAAATGTTTAAAAGTTTTAACACACAGCTTTAAACTGTCATCTTCTTGGAGTCAACATCACATTCTACCAAGCCAAGTCTAGATTAGTTATCTTACTTAAATACACAGCCACAACTGGGTCCAAACAAAGTGTTTATTAAACCGCTTCAACCTGCAGATGTTAACATTTGACCGTGTAACCGGATAAAAACAAAACCAAGTGCAAGTTATCATCGAGGCTAACGCTAAAAACCATGCTAACATCGGCTAACAAGAAAAAAACCCCACTAAAAACAAACAAATAACGCGCTGGCGTACTTACCAGCAACGAAAAATAATCTCCACCCCGCCTTGTGAACTGCGAGTTGTATCAATATTGTTCCTCTTTAATACGGTTATCTCCTTTTTTTGCCAAAACACTTTCAGGTTCAGTAAATTATACGCTTCCGCCTTGTGTAACTAAAATACTTCCTGATTTCATCTGTCATGTGATGCAATGTCACAACCAATCATAGGAGCAGAGAGTGTGTCGTCAGAAGGAGCCACCTCAGTACCACTATAATTTTTTCGTGTGTGTGTGTGTGTGTGTGTGTGTGTGTGTGTGTGTGTGTGTGTGTGTGTGTGTGTGTGTGTGTGTGTTGCCTGTATTGTAATATAAAAATAGCATTTTCTTGCAGAGCAAAGAATTGCAATTCTTGCGTTATATAACGATGTGATAGCTCAGCTGTACCAGTTATTCCAACTTCATCTTCTCTGATAATGATTTGACACTTCTTCCTTGCTTCTCTCTTCTATTCACATTGTATTAATTGATCTATTTTTGTTTATTTTATTCTCATATATATTTATTCTTGTATCCTGCTGCTTGGATTCTTTGCTGAACGCTTTATACAGATGCAAAACCTCTGTCTAAATGTTTGTTGGTTAAATAAAAAAAGGAAACATTGAAAGAATTCTATGTATGCTTTAGTGACAATTACCACAGTATGCATTTACACTACATGATTAAGGTATCTCTATTAGACCGGCACAGTGGAATACACCATGGGTTTTTGTTTTGTTTTTTTCACTCATGTCAGCATCTTATCAACCACAGGGTGGCGCAATATGACAGAGAGCGAGAGAGAAAACTCAGCAGGGCCTGTGTGACATCAACAGTCATGCAAGTACCCAAGTGCATCCAAGTTAGACAGAAAAGGAATGACTGATGCTGCTGAAGAAAACCCTGAGATACAAGATATCTATCTATCTATTTTATTTGTGCCCTGATTGACCATTTCGTTCATATGACTGGATCCATGTTAACTGTGGGTCTGATTAAGAATAGAAGTATAAAACAACCATCATCATTTATCAGAAAGATTTTTCTTCATTTTCACATTGTATCACTAAAACATATACACTAGTAGACATTCTCATCATAACTTGGATAATTACATAATGACTTTACAATCAGAACATCAATAAATGCAGATGCATCTAATAAAAAAAAAAGTTTTGATGTCCTATATTATCTGAGCACTAACTCTACAACTTTGGTTTGATGGATTTGTTCACAGTATCAATACAAAGAAAAAGGACAAACTTGGAATGGATTAAACTTTATTTTGACAATGCAGTACACACTGCATTACAGTAGATTGGAAGATGTGTAGGCTGACATTCATTTATCTGTTGCACAGATCAGTCCTGCAACAACGGGAAGTTGTTGTGGGTGGATTATTCAAACGTTCACAGTCACCTGATTTATAGCAACCCTTGAAGTAGTTGACAGCTGTGACAACATCGAAAAAGACAGAATGGCTCATTAGATATCTGCTGTACATTTTCAATGAAAGTAATGACTCTGGTCCAGAAAAACAATACACTGAGGGAAAGACCTATACTTACTGGATCCAGCTTGTATGATGACACCGGCACAGACCTGGTTTGAACCACTGCAGGTCTCCACAGAGCCTGAACAATGACGCAGGCCTCCACAGTAACACCTCAAGGCTTCACCTGGAAAAGGAAAAAACCACATCATGTTCAACCATAGCATACAAATTAATTATAATTTACAGGTATATGAACAGTTGTAGACTCTCACCAAAACTTCATTGATGGATGGATAGGATTAAATTAGGGTAAAAGAGATTGCAGGTTTACTCACTGTGGCTAACAACCAACACAACCAAAAGGGTGAGAATCACAGTCTTCATTTTTTCACAGTGTCAGGTCTCTAAACACCAGTCTCTGTATGAAAAAAAATGTGAGAAGATCAAACTCTACATTAAAAAAAGGATTGTTGGGGGAACTCTCAAAATTCACATATTCAAAAATTTGAAGATGTCATACCTGATAAATTGTCGTACTTGAATGCGGATACTTCAAATATGTGCTGCAAGTTGGCAGGCTTCGTTTTTATTTGGTTTTGTTGTGCAATTGATGCAAATCCAGTATTTCATTAACTCTGTTCAAAATACACTTTGTACTCTACTACTGTATTGAATAAAAACCAAACTGTTGTGCAAAGTGGGACATTATCATAATGGCTGTAGTTTATTTCAAAATTAGCCCTAGAAGCCCTACTGTCACCCTTTGTAATAAATATAACATTCCTTTGTCCCTACCCAATAAAGAGCCTGAATTAAGATGTACTCTGTGAATATGACTACACATTATTGGAAAAGAAGTTGAAGTTCTTTCATCCATGCAGGTAAAACTTTATTTCTTGTCTCCACTTTCTCTTTCTATAAAAGTATCACAAAAAGCTCAGAATGTAATTTTTCCAAGCTTAGATGTGGACAAGTTCCAAGTAAATAAACAACAAAGTATCAAAAACTCAGCTGGTGTTGGCCATTTAAACAATTAGTTAAAATATGCAGTTATTTTTAGGAATTTTTTTAAATAAAAGTTGGCAACAATATCCCATTTCCTCTCCCCTTCCCTGTGCAGCACAGAGTCCTGGCAGCAGGGCCTGAAGCAATGTGATAAAGTGAAATTGTACTTGTTCATGAACTGTTTTATTGGACTCATTACATCATATCCATTCCTGAAACTTATTTTATTACACTTTCAATATCAGTTTTACAGTTCAACCTTCTCTGGTCCTGTTGTTGGATTATGGACTTGCTGTATTTATATTCCTACTGCACCATGTTTGAATGTAGAGACATAAACACACATAGACATCCACACACTCTGTTTTATCTGTCTTACTGTTTTTATTCTGAATATGTTGTATCAATTTGTTTAGTTGTTCTCACTTGAATTTTAGTCAGCCAATTACATCTGCTGCATTATTTAACAATGTTGTATCTTTATTGTCCCTTTTAAATACAATAAAATAAATACTACCAGCTTTGCGTTCATGACATGTAATGCCATTTGGTTTTTTATTTTATGGTGAAATTTTACAATATGTCTTCTCTTTTTATCTTGGCCTGGACAAACCATATAGTTTGTGTTGGAGCCATATTAAGAGTTTTTGAATTTAAATAGAAAAAATCAGAAGGATGCCGCGTTTTAAGTTCGATTTTGAACTATGTTAATATGAGTAATGAAGTAATGATATTGATTCAAGGGGTTTTAAGCAGATTAATGATATGAGTACCTGATATTCACCTGTGTAAGTGCTGATTTTGTGACTTGAACCTGCTGTATAACTTCTGCTCTACATCAGTCTATAAGTCGGCCTATAAGTAGGTCTTTGATTTGGTTGGCTGTCAACAGTTTTCAGACCGATAATACATTTAATTATGTCATTTTCCTTCGTCCGATTTTATTGTTCCACTTGAAAAATCAATATATTATTTGATAATAATAATTTCAGATATTGAAAATATTATATCTCAGTCTGTGCTTTACGAGTGTGTGTGTCGGTTACACCACCTAACCTCCGGTGGTTAAAATAACTTTGATTGATTAGCCACTACAGGCTGTGATGTGCACTTCTGTATGGTGGCCCCAGATGGAATCTGAATGAACTGCTGAGTGGATGTGTATGAAACCCAGTCTGAAAAAAGTCACGTTGCCATGTCTGAGAATAAACTTTTGTCAGTTGTAGACAACATTGTCTACCCTGTAATAGCTCAATTTGACTATTTGATTGATCCCACCGTTTATAAAGAGTTTTTGATAAAGACACATAAAAGAGAAACGAGAGAAAATGAGAATAAAATAAAGAGGCATAAAAAGTGAAAAACAAAAATTCAAAGCAACCTTAATCTTTATTATGAGAACACCAGAATGCACGATACACGAGAGCATTCATTAATCAGAGGGTATTTTCAAAGCCATAAAGATGGCATTCATTCATTCATTCATATCTGTTGCACAGATCCGTCTTGCAGCAAGAGCCAGATGATAGACCAAGACGATTCAAAAGCGGGCAGTTGGTTGATTTATAGCAACCATTCAAGCGGTAGGTAACTGTGGAAACATAGAAAAAAGATAATGGATCATTGGAGAAAGTTTTGTTTTCCTGTTTTTATTTGTATTCTTTATTATTGATGTTGGATGGCTGCTCACTATAGTGTGACCATTGCATTTTATTGCCACTGAAGCACTTACTGGATCCCGCGAAAATGAGGGCCCTGGCACAGACATTATCTTCCCCCTGGCAGGTCTCCACAGGGCTTAAACAGTCTCGAATGCCTCCACAGTGACATCTCAATGCTTCACCTGGAAACAGATATAAAAAGAATATTGTTCTCCATCTTAAACAAACTAACTCTGCAATTTCAGTTAAATTTGGGTAAAATAAACTGTGCAGGTTTACAGGTTAACTCACTATGGCTCACAACCAGCACTACAAAAAGAGCAACAATCACAGTCTTCATGTATTCACAATGTGATGTCTCTGTACACCAGATTCTGTATTAAAAAAAAAGTGTTAGAAGATCAGACACCACATTTTCCTAAACAAATATCAGCATTTTTTTCATCATCCACCCATTCAAAGAGTTAAATATATCTCATCCCTGGCGTCCTTTTTATCCAGTTGTGTTGCGTTATTGCTGCATAAGTGCTGCTTATCCAGTTTATTATTAACTTGTTATCTGTGTCAGGAAAACACAATCTTACACCACTGACTTGTGGGAAATGCAGTGTGCTGTACAGAAAATTCTTAAACCAATAGTTACTGCTATCTATGACTAATAATAACAACAACAACAACAACTATGTTGTCACCAGATTTCCCCATAACAAATGAATGTGAATCATGAATATGTCATAAAGCAGGACAACTCAAAACAGACAGGTTTTTACAAATGTTATTCAGTTCTATATAGTTTTATTATAAAGAGTGAGAGAGAATGGAGGTTTCATGCAGGATAAATTTATTTGTTAATTTTTTATGTGTCCATCACCAGCCAGTGTTTGCTGTCCACCTGTGGCCAGAGCTTCTGACAGTGAGGATAACCCAAGGGTGCTAGCATCATGAGGGGAGAAACAATGTTGTGCAGATGTTTAAGTAACTGACAAGAATGGACATTCTCCACAAATTAATGAAAGATACTGTACATTTGCTTATATAATCAGATTGAGAGTCAATAAAGATCAGCCTAAAAAAAAAAAAAAGGATAAACCAGCTTTCACCAAAAATTCATTTAATTCACAGCCACTAATGAGAGAAACAACAGCAGCAAATCCTCTTTTCTTTTACCGAAGGCGGCTGGTGACTTTCTGTGTTGTTCTGTGCTCTCCAGACATTTTAATCAACTTACTGACAGTTTCGTCTCTACAGTAAAGAAACATTGTTTGTTTGTTGTTTTTGTTCTTCTTTTTGGGATATACTTAACGTGTGTTAGTGGAAGCGTGGAATCATGAAAACAAACCCTACAAACCAGATTTAACAGAAGCTAGAAACAATGATTGTACTCTTTGATTACAATAATTCACCTAAACACTGCCCTTCTTAAATCCTCCCTTAAATACAATTACAACCATATAAAAACATGGTTTGATTGTTGACAATTGAGCGTCAACCCATTTTGACACTCCAGCTTTGTAGAATATACGTTACTCACGAAATTAACAAGGACGCAGTACTGATGTGTGGCCAACCTTTCCACCTTTGATTTTGAAACTGTTAAACAGGTGACATTTTCCAGCATCTTGATAAGAGTTTAAATAGTTTAATGTAAATTCAACTATTTAATTATTAATTTGTAATGAGCCTCTCTGTTTTGCTGTAAGGTCACAGTAAAATAAATTAAACTGAGATATTTTATGTGGTAATATTTTATGCATCTATTTTTGCTGAAAAAGTGAATTCCACTTTTTTTCTGGCATTAAGCATATTTTTACTTAAAAACTACATATCTGACTGTCTCTTGTGAATATATCAAGGTATATAAACTTGATTAAGTCCTATAACATAATTGAGTGCACAACTATGTGCAACAACAAACTTGGGAGTTTGAGCTAACAGTAAAGTGACTTTAATCTTTTCTGAGGCTTCACCACAAATATCCAGACATCAGCATTTGTTTTTGACTGTAACTCACAACTGGCTCAAAGTTGCATTTAACTGCTGAAATTTACCAAATGCTCTTTATAAACCATTTGAGCTGAGTTTTATTCCAAGTGGCAATAAAAATTAAAGCAGTCATTCCAATAATGTCACTTATTGTGACATGTTTCTTTCTCAGAAATGCATGAACAGTGAGAAGTGTGACACCACAGTAAAAGAACACAGTCAGACATTTTCTGCATATTTTATTTTGTCAGCTGAGGAGAATCATTCAGAATATCAGAATCAATCAATCAATCAATCAATCAATCAGAATAAAATTCCTGAATACTCTGAATATTTTATGAGTATAATGAGTTCATGTTTTTATCCCAGGAGGCATCAATATTTTGTAAATTAGTAACAGTATTATATATTTCATGGGACACACTTTTCAACTAAATGTGCATATTTATTTATGTTTAATTTATTAGCAGCTATTTCGTCTTTGAGAAAGAAATTTGCCACTTTTCAAATTTGTTTTCTTGAAGAGCAATTGAACCTATTTCACAGAATTATATTTAATGCCTTGGTGAGGAAAAAATAAGAAATTTATTCGAATCTCCTGAAGGATCTTTAGGAGAGCATTAAATGGAGATGAGCTGAAATCATAAATAATGTACTGTGTGCTGCTTTGTGGAGTTTGAATATCAGATATTCATAGTCCAGAAACTATGAATTTGCAAATAAAAAATGCTGAACTGAGAAAAGAATTTAATTTAAAACAATAAACAATCTATGCTGTGTGATGCACATACTCTATTCTCTATATGCAAGATGAAGCATGTGTCATTTTTGTTCCTCTGTATAAAACATCCAACCACTCTGACCTGTCTGCCATATAAATACAGTATCTGTGTGCACAATCAACAGGTTTTCATGTAGAATGCTTACACATTGATTTGGAAACCTTTTCCTTAGGAAAAAGAATAAACAACTTTACCATGCAAGAAGGTAACTGGTATTATCAACTGCAAATTGTTCTGAGGATATTGGAAAAAATATACAGTATATACTAGAACCCACTGCTGTGGAACTTTTTTTTAAAGACACACTTCAGTAAAGCCAAGATAATGCACAAATGACATGCGTTTGCATAGAAATGATGTAAATTGCGTGGAGTTTGACAAATATGAGAGCCCAGGAATTAAAAGGGGGGAAATACAGCACACATTGACAATCTCCAGCAGAGTCTCTTTAAACACTGTAAGAATTGCATTTCAATAACTGCTGATTTTGTTTCCAGTTGCAGTGAAGTCAGTGACCCTGCCCCTGAAACATGTAGTTTAATCTGTGAGGTCTAGACACCAAGACTGCTCTGTGCTCTGCGTCTGGACGCCAATGCTGGACCTTCGTGATGATGCGCTTTCACTGTCTCTGCTCTCCATAGAACCCCCTTTCCCCAGTAGGCATTCCAGACTGGTGTGTTCTATGGCAGACGGGTCGCCCAGTGGGAGGTGGGGCTCAAGAGCATCCGATCGTTCTGACCCTGAATCCAGGGGGGATCCAAGTGGGTGGCTGGGCAATGTGGGCAGAGAGGCAGAGACATGTTGGACAGAGGGTTGTGAGTCCTCAATTTGGAAGATGGAGGTGTCCTGGATCAGATTATGAGATGATGGGACACAAATGTCCTCATGTGAGGTCTGTGATAGGTTCAGATGGGACTCTGAGGGCAGGCAGAAATGGGGGTAAGAGCTTGGTGATGGGTCCAGCAGGCTGTGTGTGGACATACCTGTAGGGGCACTGGACAAAAGGCAAGAGTATTCATCACTATCACTGGGAGGCTGCAGGCACAACGTGGGCTGGGACTTGCTGATGGTAGTTGGGCTAGCACTGAGAGGTCTGTTGTCAGAGTCCTCATGCCAAGCATGAGTTGTAAGGCCTGGACTTCCACCATGGAAGCCTGGGCTGATGCTGAGAAGAGATGGGCTCGTCCACAGATGTGTTTTCATGCTCTCCGAGCTATGACACGAGCCTAACCTGGGTGCAGAGTTTAGAGAAAGAGGTGGACAGGAGTTAGAAGGTGGACTAGAGGATTTAGGTCGGTGGTGGCTCTCTGTTTGAGTTTCAGCAGCTCTACTGTAGCTCCAGTGGTCAGTGGAAGGGACACTTTGGTGGCTGTGGCCTTCATGGCTCCCAGGATCATTATGGAGGTGGTAGGTTGACGCTAGGTTGAATGGCATACCAGTGTTGGGGCCTGTGGGAGGGCTGGTCCCCATTTGGACACCGTATGGGTATGAGGGCTGGTAGTGATGCATGGATATGTGAGCCTGGAGGAGATGCATCATATGGTGCAGGCCCCTGGTGAGCTCAGATACTTCCTGGTTCAATGTGCCCATCTGCGTAGAGAGTACACACAAGTTTAGTCACGCCTACCTTGCATATTCTATTATCACACTGAGCAAACATGGTAAAGTTGACAGGATTTTTCCAATTACCCGCCCTTATAGTCCCTTCTATGACTCTAAGAAGTAGTTTCTTATGCAGCAGTGAAATCCAGAGGGACTCTGACAGACTCAGGTAACTGACACAAATAGGGAACAACTATGAAAGCAGATGTAACTGGGAATAAGTTGGTGAACCATGACAGAAAGGGGGCCAGAAAAGGGCCATAAGTAGAGCTGGGTTGTCATCAGAATTTCTTTTTTCTTCAGATTGTCGAGTCAGCACTCTCGGCTATCCTCTGCATTGCAGAAGTGCCCTACTGATTAATTAATTTCAACTTCAGACAGCACCTACCTGGGCCCATCTGGATGCTCTTGCTGCACCTGCTTATGCTCTATTTACATTCAGATTAAGACTGCAGGGACAGGAACAAGGCAGAAACTCTCTACTCTACTTGATCTCACTGTATGTTTCCCCATGTTAATATACAACCACGGCTGATATTGAATGAGATGCCAGAAATTTATCTATGAAAAAAGCTAATGAGTTTCTTCTTATTTTCTTGGTCTGCACTGAAGATGTCAGTGACTCCATTGCTTAACACTGAAACAGGATCTCATATTTTATAGCCAAAATGAAATATAAGTCCACAGGTTGTATTTTCTCATAACAAATTTGTTCATGCTTTATGTATTTCACATTCAGCCTGTCAAAAATACTTAACAAAGAGAAGACAGAAGAGATGATGAGTGGGGATACTCAGCAGAGTTGATTTGGGTCTGGGAGGATTTCAAAGGCTAGATTATCTTTGGTCCAATCACTTTTAATTTAAGTCAAGAGGCTTTTACTTTACCTTATGGTTGAGTTGACTGATGCCCTGTCTGACCTCCTCTGTCTCCACCAACAGAGTGGCATTTGCCTGCGTGGAGTCTGGAAAAATAAGGTGAAGGAAATAAAGTAGCTGACTTAATAGCACATGACTCAAGACAGATGTGACTCCAGAGGACGGCAACTTACATATGTAAGTATGGTATGTGTTCATAATGCACATTTGCATATGTGTACAGTATCTGTCATGGGTAGACTCATTATACTAAAGTAAATTAGATGAGCTTAAACTAAACAGAACCTGATATTCTCCCTAGGAAGCTAGTGATCATCAGTAAAAGCTCAGGTCAGATGATCAGTACCCTGCTTTGACCTCAGTTGTCCTTTAACATGTTCTCTGACTCTTTGGGCACCTGGCTGTCATTTCATTCCTCTCATGTGCTCTCATATTTCCCCAGAAGGAGGCAGGGCAGCATTGTGGTGTCCACTGTTTGAACTCCTCCAGCCATCTGGCACCTGGGTGACCCTCGCAGCTGGAGGCGGTTTGGCTTACCTTGGGTGCTGCCTCCTGTACTGGCTTTAGGCCCGCTGTGCTCCACGTTGAAATGGAACGTGTGCCCATTGTCTTCAATGCCGTCTACAACCCTGTGGCGGGAGGGGGTGAAGAGGAGGGAAGCTGGAGTTAATGTAACAGTAGAGCTTTTTCAATTATCATTGGAGCCAGCAGACGACCCAGGAATGTGCCATGAGAGCTGCTGCTGGCAGAAGCCCATGTAGGTTTGAACATGAGGAGAAGAGCCCAGTCTGGAGGGGCGGACACCTGAGCCCTCTGAACCAGCACTTACCCATATCTAGGACTTACTGGATGACTTAGGGATACATTATGAATACAGATGGTTAGGGCAGGAGGATAAGGTACTCTGGTAATGAAATTCAGTGACATCTGTTGAAATATGCAATGCAAATACTCTACGTTTATGCAGGTTTCTCTAGCATGACTTTAGGTGTCACTTACTGCAACACCTTTTTCAGATCATGTCAGACGTTCTAAGGTTAGCATAACTTGAGTAAGTATGTAGACATACTGTGCTCTACAAAATTCTGTGAGATACTGTCTGTGATAGGAAAAGGAATTAATTTAAAACAATACATGTTAAGGAAATGTAAAGGGAACAACTTCCTGTGTTTTGCCATAATTTGAGTGTGACTACATGTCTATGAAATGAAATAGTGGTACAGATAATAAGTGGTAGAGTTTGAGTGAACACACAGAAGCAGCCACAGTGTGAAGAACTGATACTAAGAACAAAAATGAAAAGTGTAGGTAGATTGGTAACAATTTGTGAAGCTTATTATTTGTAATGGCTGTTTATAGTGTGTCAGAGGTTTTGATTGTACTCTGTTGTAATTTCTGAATGATTGCCGGGTTTCCTACTCCTTCATAGAATCAAGGTTTCCACACTAGACTAGACATTTTAGTTTAAGAATTACTAATAGCATGTTGCTTTTAGATTTTATAGCACTGCATTATGTTATATAGGTGTTGTTTATTTTCTGGTCAAGCAGTGTACACTATATTTTGCAATGCTTGCTACCCAAGTTAAAACAAATTTATGTAGTTTTGACTGTTAAGAGTTTTCTCTTTTCTGCTTGTGTTTTGGAAAATGAATTTAATGTTAGTTTTCACTACCTCGGACTCAGATCTGGGGGTCCAAAGCAGGTGACAGTTGGGATAAGCAGCTTTGAAGGCTTTTGCTCAGCTCCTGACTCTCCCTGGGCTGAAGTTGAGGCTGGGGCCAGGGTCAGGGCTGATGTAGGGGTGCTGTGCTCTCGTTTGGTGGGTGGCTGAGGGGATGAGCTCTGCCCGTGGAAGCCACGGCTGAGATTTGGGGAGCGGCAGCGTCGCAGGGCGTTGAACTGCCGCAATTCATCCCCCAGGAGGTTCCCCAGGGACGTACGGCGAACGGGGCTGCTGAAGCTGGGCAGCAGGAGATTGCGACGGGAGCGGGTAGCCGGAGAGAGGTGGAAGGAGTCATCTGGGTCATCACCCTTGGTTTCCACGATAGAGGGGAGCCTGGATTCCTGCAAAACAGGAAATATAACATGTAGCATTAATAACTGTACACTTTTTAATGTATAATTTTCACAACAGAAAGGTGCACAAATCCTCAAATGGCCTGATTTGTGTTTGTGTTTGTCAAAATACAAGCCCTTAGGATATGAAAACAGATTAGAGCAGAAATAAAATAAAACTTGGAAACTGGAATAATAAATACATGAATTAAATTAAGTATTGAATCATATTAGAAAACCAGACAAATTCAAAATGCCATTCAAATTACTTTGCTCCCCGAAAACATTTAATGAGTAATCATGCACATAATAACCTATTTATTTTAAAAGCTGCTGATAACAAGCAAATAATGTTATTTTTATTATCTTTTATTTATCAAAGTTTAATCACATTGCAAATTCTAACCACAGCTGCTTGTGTAATTATAAGTAAAAACAATTGGTTTTATATTAAATGCAACTTTTAATAACAATGTGAACACTGTAAACAGTAATAATAACAGAAAAATAAGGCAGGGAGATACAGGGAGATGCATACAGTACATAGTGAGGAAAGTAGCTCATAAGGTTTCCCATTAGGAGAGCTATTGACCCAGTTAGTGAGCTAACTCCAGGGACACTCTGTTCCAAATGAGTTTCAACCTGTATGGGAAGTCCATGTACAAGCCCTCGCACAATGTTTATAAGCATTACCGTATGTCCCAGAAAAACTGGGGGTTTTGCCTTGAAAAACCAGATGCACGCCAATTAAAAACCAGGGACTTAAACACATGATACAAATACACCTCTCACCAAAATTGTGCAGTGGTCTCACCTACTCTATATTTAATATAATTCAAAACCAGGCTTTGTGTTTTTGAATTTTTCATAACTGACTTACAACATCTTGTGGACAAAGGAAATAATGACACCTCAAAGAGAAGATGGATTGAATTAGCACTGAACTCACATGGGAGAGCCTGGGTGACCTTGAAAACCTGTTGAGACCCTGCAGTGACAAAAAGAAAGCAACAGAGATTACAAAAGACACAGCTGCAGGAAAAATGTATTGATTTACTTAATATCCTATCTATCAGATATTTAAATTTTATATTTAACCCTTACAGTAACATATTTGGTGATATCTTTGCCTTTACAAAACTGAGTAAAATTCTAAATTGTTATTTTGTTCTCTTTTTCCAGTCCAACGGTTTTCCATTTGTTTTCCCATTACTTAAATGATCTTGGCCACTCATACATCCTCTGCCACACAACCCGAATCACATAACTGATTCTTTTTTCCACACCTGATTGCAGAGGGATTCCAGCAAAAGTTTCACTTTCTGCTGGTGTGTGGAGAAATTGCTAGCAAATTAGCATAATCACCAGCTGGATGGAAAATGAAACTGTGGTAGTGTGAAGCCTTCCCTCATGTGTGAAAAAATGTGCTTCTGACAACATGGCTTAATGTGACAACACAAGCCACAGTCTGTCGCTCTACCAGTCTAGTGCCAGTAATGCTCTTTGATGCAAGGAAGCCAATTCACCGAGGATACACATTAAATTTAATCCTTCATTGAAGCACAATACTGGGTTTAAAAATCAGCACAGCTGAAATGATATGAAAGCAAAAATAAAACTCCAACTGTGAATCTTTCATATAGCACCACCATCTCTTCAGATGGTGGTGCTATATGAGAGACAGAGGGAGGAAATCAGTGAGTCTATTCAAGGCAGGGACAAATTCTCCTCATAAGGAAAGTTAACCCCAGAGCAACTTGGAATGATTAAATAGAAAGAGAGCAATATTAGTGCCAAATGACATTAACTGAACATCAATATCAAGTAATGGGGCACTGATGCCAAAAGTGTCCCACATAGGAAAGTGGGTTTGCAGGGACTTAATTGAGGGGCTTTTTCCTGTCACTCACAAGTGTGCTATGGTGTATTTGCACATGCATGCCATTCTGAAGGAACAGATCTTACAAAATGGCAGTATACATTGTGTGCGATTTGTTTTTGCTGCACACCAACCATCTAAAACCAGGTGTTACAGGTAGAAATTGAAGCACAATTGAGCAAATACTTGACTTCCTTTGTTGCTACAAATTTATTCAGAAACTGATGTCGGTGAGAAAACAAACAAACATTTTTTTTGTTTTCAGAATAGCTTAAAAATCAGAAGCATAGACCATTGACAGCTAAGTAAGTGCAAACTCATCATCAGGGGTGTACTTGAAATCATACTGATGTTGCCTGATGGTATGGTCACCTGGGACTGTTGTTGTGACATTCTGTCATCCCCTCTCTGTGCTCCTTCAGCCGACTCCTGATTAGTATTTTTATCCCACCCAACATGTCAATAACATTGAGCTCATCTTGTCTCTAGCTCTCCAATAAACATGCTGTACTTTTGCGCTCATTGGTTACCAGTTGGCTGCCTTTGTCAACTTTGTTAAACTGTTGTTGTCATATGAGGCTCCAAAGAGAGCTGCATCCCCATAACTCCTGGCCGACCAGTTTGTCCTTCACACCCCATGACTACTGACTACTCTCCCTGTGGCGACATGGTCATTATAGTTCAACAAATTTCGTCTCAGTGCTGGCTTTCTACTGGAATAGTGACCTTCCCGCTCTACCCAGGACAGTATAGTCACTCCTTATATATTTATATATATAAGTCATGCTCCTGGTACCTAGTTCACACCAAATCATTCAACCTAACCTTAAACCAATAACTATTTTTTGGCCACTTAGGAGCAGCTGAAACAAGCTGTGAATATATATACAACAATATATAATACAATATATAACAAACTTGCTAGCAATCACACCTAGCAGTCACAGAGCGACAGAGAGTCGTGTTTCTTATTCACTCTCTTTTAGCTCTGATTTTTGGTCTCAACTAATTGAAATGTCTGGCTCTTTAGCTGCTAAATGCTCCACTATGTTCACCAGCTCATTGCAGACTTTGCCTAATCACAAACTTGGTGCTGAGCAGAAAAACGAGGCAATGAGAGCGAGAGTGAACCAAAACAGGAGAGCTGCGGGCTGAACAGCCAGCATTTGCCAGAAAGACATTTGATACATTGTTATTATAAAATTAAATGAATCAAGTGGAACTGAATAGAGCTACATTATTTTCACAATTAGAAAGTCGGTGATGAACAAAATTTCAACTTATTTGGCTTGTGCAGTTTTGAGTTGCTACAGATAAGACATTCAACCCAACTTGAAAGCAATCTAATGGGTTCTTGTCTCTGTTTGTATGTTTGCAGTATGCTGAGTAAAAAAAGCTGTAAAACTTTTATGTTCTATATCAACACCAATTGAGAAGAATTTAATTGACAGCACTGCAATACAAGTTGAAATTAAATTACAGAGTTGACAAAAAATCCCTCATTTTCCATCAGACTGGGTTTTTCCCTTGAAGACAAGATAATGTAGTCCCTTTTGGGGACTAAGCATTTCTATAATCTGTTTCTTTGGCAGTATTTCACTACAGTTGACTGATTGCTGTACAGTCAGCATATTCTCAAGTATCTCTTTAGTGCAAAAGGACCTCCCATCCTACAACAACTCCCACCTAAAACCACCCACGGTGAGGATGTGAATGAGACCAGTACGACTGTATGTTTGTGTGTGTGTGTGTGTGTGTGTCAGGAATCTGTGGGACCTGGCAGCACGGCCAGGTAGCTGCACACTCCTTCATCCTGTCAGGGGAGCGGCGGTGCCCCGACTGAGCTTGAGCATAAACTCTGAGCAGATGGTGTGGGAGAAGTAGAGAACTAATACTTGTGATCAACCTGGCCCCCGAGAAGCCTGCTTGAATCTAAATTAAAGACTGTAATAAGTCTAGTAACGTATGAACATATATGGCAGCTATACTCAAAATAGAGATCTTATGATAGTCAACTTTTCTAAAATAATTTGCTTTTCTGTCATATACGCATGGATTCTGTAAGGTGACAAATTGTATCTATGATGTGTCTCTATGGAGGGAAACTCCGCAAACATAATTATCCTGTTTTTGAAGCCCTCATTAATTCAGTTCTTTCAGTTCAGTTCTTTTCCCTCGGCCTGTCTGACAAAGACATCCGGTAATTAACACGGCCAGCACAGATGTCCTGTTCTTCATGTTCCAAACTTAACAAACCACAAATAAAACAAAAAAACAAAATGAATAAATTAAGAAAACCTTCAAACAATGAAAAAGGCCTGTGGGAACAAAGATGAATGCTTGAAGGAAGTACAAAATGTTTGTGATTGACAATTAGGATGAGATTGGGAAAGTCCTCAGGGAGCTTTGTCATTTTTGTCAGTCACACATCAATGACATCTTGGCATTAATTTGTTTTGATCATACGGTTCAACAACATGCCATGCAACACAACCACTGAACTTTGTTACATTGTTTCTGTAGGTTTTCAAGATCCATTTTTTAAAGATTATATAACAGTGCCTGTAAACATGGCTACATGTGTAACATCAACAGGTGCATTTTCTCCACAGATGGAGGATTATCCTGCCTTACGTAATGCTTTCTTAAATAACTGTTAGGGGTAACAGGCAATGCTGGGAGGAGGTCAGTGTCTGGGTGTAATGTCATCCTGTTGTGCTTTGGGGTGGTAACAGGCAAGCGATACGGCTGCCTGACAGCGGCACCCACGCATGGTAACTGGTGTGACAATCAAGTCACCAACAGCCCTTTGGTCGCTGTGGCAGAACAAGTGTCAAGGAGAGTGACAAAGGCACCTCAGGGGGCACGAATGTGTTGTTTGGTGTGTTGTATGCTCTATTCCACTATCAGATAAATGTAGGGGGAAACGGTGCGTGTGTAACATCTGCTGGGCTGCAATGCACAATCTAATAATCAAGAACACATCATTAATTTCCTTCAAAGCTGAAACAATGACCAGTTCTTACATGTTCAAACTGTGAATTATTATACACATGTAAACCCAAGTTTAAAATACCTTTATCAAACAACACTTGCAATTTTTTTTCTTTCTATTTACCGTAGAGTTTATTTAATTTGATTCTGTTGTTTGTCCGATTTCTCTTGTCTTGCCTAAATTTATTGTCACATTAATTTTACTTATCTGTATGTATATGTGATTAGTTTGGAGTGCAGTGGTTCTGTAGTGGATGGGGCTCTGTTGGAGCAGAACAAGGGGGGAAGGGGTACACTGTATTTGTTCAACTGTCGGCGTTGAGTTGCATTCTGTAAAACTTTAAATGCAAATAAAAAGACCTTGAACAAAAAAACACTTGCAAACCAAGCTGCAAACCGAGAAAAGGAAAAATCTTCGCTATATCTCAGATTGATGTCTAAAGTTAATACTAAATAATAAAGTTTGAGTGCCAGCCCCAAGAATTAAGTGCTAACTGTATTTTGTGAATCACCACTTTGGACAAATATTTAACTATTAGATAGTTGAAATCCATAGTAGAAGAGGAAACAATACAGATGACTCTACCAACAGCTGCCTCAGCAGACCAGAATGATTTCTAAATGTTCAAAACCCATACATCACCACTGCTCTCCTTATCTTCATGTACTGATGTACAGTCTAATAAACATGTGGGTAATATGTTGGGAGAATGATTATAGGTTGGTAAGCTCAGGCAGAATTAACGTTGTGATAGCAGGATAGGATAGGATAGGATAGGATAGCAGTACCTCGTCCTGGCTGCCCTCACGCAGGTTATATGTGAGGTTGTTGTGGATGTCAGAGGCGAACACGCTGGCGTATTCAGGGTAAAGTTCCAGCACCTCTCTCAGGCCTCGAACACTGATATACTGTAGGTCACAGTAGGTCAAGGCCTTCACATCAGCGTTGGTCTTGATGACCTGGTCTGTTCCCGGCAGGTCCGACCCGATCAGGTCCCCTTTCCCTAAAACCAAAATAGTAAATATTCACTTTCTTGTGTGACTTTATGCTACTTAAACACCTCAAACTTGATGCTACAATACAAACCTAATATGGCCAGCACCATGTTGTCTTTCAGCACCTCTAAAGACCCAGAGCACACAAAGTAGTTGGCATGCAGCGCATCGCCCTGGCGGATCAGATACTCCCCAGGGACGCAGAAGGAGGTTTTTATATGGAGGGAGAGAGAGCGCAGACATCCACGACTGGCCCCCTTAAAGACCGGCAGCTGGAGGATGTCCTTATTCAGATGCATGGCGATGTCAGCCCGCAGCTCATCAGGGAAGTCATGCAGGAGCTGGGGATGTGTGACAGATGTAACGAGATGCGGCACTGATTGGTAATTAGGGAATGGACTGTGTTGCCACCAGTTACCCTTTTTTGAATTTCAATAGGATGTCAATTAATGGTTTACCTGCAGCCATATGTTGTGCAAAATCATAAACAATTAAGGCTACAAAGGCTTGTGAATGGATTTTACAGCAGGTAAATGCCATCAAAACATTGGCTTGAAGTTCCTTGGGGGCAGACAGAACTGTGTGCAAAGGTATTACATGACAACAACAATGAAAGGGACTCCTACCTCGTTGGCATCTATACCATTGTTGACAGACCACGTGGTCTGGAAGTACTCCAGCATTCGTTGTTTGAGCTGCTGGGGCAGACGGTGGACACGGATGAAGTCCTTCAGGTCTTTCATACGTGTGTGGTAGAGAGAACGGCGTGAGTACATTCGCTGGATGATGGCCGTCACGTTACCAAAGACGAGGGCGTGCATTAGTGCTGTATGAGAGATGAAAACAACTAGCATGAAAGACAGTAAATGACAATATAAAGACTGAGTATTAGTATTCTTAGGTTGAAATAATACAACTTAATTTTGAAAGTTGTCTCTCAAAGAAAAAAATACTTCAAAAGGTGGCTTTTATTTTTAATTCCTTTCAAATACTTTTCCTGCTTTAAAATAAAAATAAATCTTCATATTGATCACTACCCAGTCATCTATAATAGTTACCATTTATGTGCTTATTGATCCAATCAGGGGCCACAGTAATTTACAGCTCCATTTATATCACTGCTCTGATAAGCAGTCTGAATAAAAAATAAAGCAATAAAGCAAAAACAATTATCTTATGTGTTGTTGCACCAATAATTGCCACCTCAGCTAAAATAATCTGTTTATTGGTATATAAAGATGGCAACAAGCTGAGTCTTAAAGGCCAGCCAAACCATCCAACCCACTTCCCGCTGAATCTTTAGACCTGACGTGCCAAACAGAGGCACTGTTCTGCCAGGATGCCAGAGGGAGAATGTACCCTAGTGTCAGACGTACCGCCGACGAGCATGGTGCAGATGGAGAAGATCTTCTCAGCATCAGTGTTGGCACAGACATTGCCAAAGCCCACACTGGTCAGGCTGCTGAGGGTAAAGTAGAGGGCAGCGATGTAGGAGCTGCGCACTGTCGGGCCGCCCACCGTGCTGTTGATATACGGTGTCTCCAGACGTTTGCCCAGCTCATGGAGCCACCCTAGATTGTAGAGGTAGAGCACGAGAGAAGAACAAAGGCAACAGTTAATGTGGTCCGCACGTACTTCAACACCTGTTCTAAGAAAGACAAGAGTGTATAGTGGGTCTGTGTGTTTGTATGTGTCAGAAAGAGATTGTCAGCAGGCTGTTGGTACGTGACGGGGCAAAATTAGATTGGCTCCTCCAGGGATAAATAGGGAGCGTTAATTAGCAGGTATGACCTAAACTCCCTATACACAGAATATACTGACTCAAAAGTATGCACAATCCCACATATACACACATAAACAGAAACACACACTCAGCAGACTGTACCAGGTGTTCAATTTTGCTGTACATTATGTCAAAGTATGTGTGTTGCTGCTGTTTCAAAATCATGTGTTGCTGTTAAGGTGCAGGATCAAACCCTTCACTTGTTTGTAGTCATTTAGATGGTAATGAAAGCCTAAACCTGGTTAGACTCTGGTCTGATGCTCGCAATTGGATAAATAATAAAATAAGATACCACTCAGATAATTTACAGAATAGAAAAGCCTGTCAGTTTTTGATTATTGGTCTCCATGTTGAACCATTTTAAAACAGTGACACAAACAAGACATTAGTATGCTGCTTGCTACCAGTCATTTGTTATATGAGCTTTTGATCTGGTGTCAGGCTGTCCTCATTAGAGTGCCAGAGTATGGTGTTCGCTGTCATCTCACCACTGAGCAGAGCTAGAAATCCCAATAGGTGAGCCCTGATTATTTATAGCTGAGTGGGGACAAAACAAATGTCTATTCACTGTATTGACAAAATGTAGTCTGCGGTATTAGACTAGACCACTCACTTAGAATGAACCTATGATAGGTGAATGAAAGTCTGGAGCAGCGCTTACTTTAACTATGAAATTAGCAATTTTAGGTTCTATTTCCTGCAAGACGTCACAGACAGACAACGAATAAATGATGGCATATGGTGAAAATCAGCTGGAACTATCACTTCATTTATCCTTTTCAGAGAAAGGAAATACTACTTTCACACCCTTTATGGATCAAACACCAGACAAGACAACACTTCAGCTTCCACTTCAACAAGGCCACAAGTTAGACTCACCAATGTCCCATGTCTCACTGGTCTCTATCTCCCTGCGTCCAATCATGTACCAGATGCAGGCCATCCAGTGTGCCAGCAGGGCAAACACAGACATTAGTAAGGTCAGTACCATGGCGCTGTACTGGGAGTAGCGGTCCAGCTTCTGAAGCAAACGAAGGAGCCGCAGCAGGCGTACCGTCTTAAGCAGGTGGACCAAGGACGTCTGAGGTGGAGATGAGAGTAAGGGGGATCAAAGTGAGGAAGAAAGTGAGAGAAAGGAGGCAACACACTTCAGGGAAACCGGTATGTATTATGACAAATCATCAATTTTCTCCTTATGTCAGCAATCATGAAGAGCAGTGGTACTCACAACTGTGATGTTGAAGGCATACAGCAGGTCAAAGGGCAGGGCGGCCACCAGGTCCACAAAGAACCAGGTGGTGGCGTAGTGAATGCAGATGGAGCGTGGCTCATAAACCACTTGGCCTGACTGGCTCACAAACGTGGTACGAAAGTTCAGGATAATGTCTGGAAATAAGAAAGTTAAAGGTAATTTTTTGTCTGGTAATCAGGTAATCTGTGACTAAGGGACGGTACAGTCATACTCATGTTCATTAAGCAGGAAGAGAAACATTGTCACAAACATGCAGTTTTTTTTACTGAAAAAAACTGATTCAGTCCAAATGGTTCACTTGTATGCGAAGCATACTTTAGACCACATAATGATGTTTGTCATTCCCACAAAATATAGAATACAGACAGAGTGGATTACCAATTTTAGTCATATTAATGGTAATGTAACCTTAAAATAATAACAATATAAATGAAAAGAAATGGAAAATACATGAGGGAATATATTGGTGTTTTAAGGCATCCATATGGATCAGTGAATTTACCAAACAGATCATTTAACCTTAGTCTCAGAAACATGATGTCGATGTTGGCAGAGACGATGGCTCACCACTCAATGGGAATTTCAGTAATGATAAGTTTAAGGAAGGTAAGATGATGAGGATGGTGATTTTTGGAGAGCACATACAGCAAAGTGCAGATTAGTGTAAGACTGATTAAAATCAGTGGCACCTCCTCTCCAATATATCATTTTCCTAAATACTTCTGGCAAGCATGCCTTATTTTGAGTGCTATATGAGGTTGTTTGCATTTTTGTTTCTCTCTTTCTGTCTATTAATTAGTCACGTGTCTTCAAAAGAGAAATAGGAAATACAATAAGTTACAACAAACAAACTAACTCTAGTCTAGCACGGCTGGTGGTTCTGTGTTTGTACCAAGTTGAGGGATTCCTAACCACTGTTAATGTACACTAAGAGGAGAACATTGAGCTTCTGCCACCTCAATTCATCCCTTGGGTGTGTCCCTTTGAGGTTTATCAAGGATTATCAACTGGGAGGAGTCCCTGGGAGAGACTCAGGACATCCTGAAGGGACTACAAAACCTAGGTTGAATGGAACGAGGAGAACTTTCTAGGGAAAAGGATGCCTGGGTTGCTCCTGTTCCCTGTTGCCATAGGTGTCAAGAAAATGGATAGATGTTACCACATAAAAACTACCTTCAAAGCACCATAATATTATTATTACATCTTTTTGTGATCAAAATTTTATTATAATTATTTTATCCCTAACTGGAGGTTAGATCAAACACAACACAAAACATCATCCCCTGCATACAGCTGTAATACTGGACATTGATCACTTTAACATACACATAAAAACAAAGGGGTCTTATTTTCCCCTCCAGTCTTTAAAGACAGCAAAGGGGAAATTTTTGGTTGAACCACATATCTAATTCCTTGCAAATAGAATTGCGCAACATTTAATAATTATTGTGAGAAATTTTATGAATAGAGTAATAAAGACTCCTTTAGGATTTCTGTTTACAGTCCTGAATCATCCGATAAATTACTTAAGAGTAAAAGTCAAATTTATTTTATAGCCTGAAAGGGTACTTAAAAAAATCAAAAAATCTCCATAACCACCCCATCACCAAAGACAATTCATTTCCAATCAATCAAATGCCTTTTCTGTATAAATACATATTACAGCTGGTGATAACATTGAATTAGATGAGTTGCATGATCTATTCAGTAACTTCTATCAATACTCACCTATAATAAAGAGCATTTCCACTGCAATGTCGCTTACAATGGTGGAGCGTGCAGCTGTGACAGTGTCATCGTAGGGTGTGAAGCTAACGTTGTAGGGAACGGTGACAGCCACATAGAAGGTGGCCAGCAGAATGAGCCAGTCCCACAGGGCTTTGAACACACTGTAGTGGAGCAGAATGAAACGCGACTTCTGCACTGCTGCCACCTTGTACTCTGGTATTGAAGACTTGCCCATATTGTTCTGTGAGAGAACAGGAAGATGAAGTTTAGCAGGGCAAAAACACTCTTAAATATTTCTGTTGAAACAGACAAGAGCATGTACAGAGTCACATGCACACACACATATGCCACTCATATAGAAAGGTGGTTTGCCTGTTAGGAGTGAAAGTCCAGTAATAACCTCTAGCCTCTTGATTTTCAAGCTCAAGTTAATAAATACACAAAACACAAAGCATCCTAGAGAAGCTGCATAAATGAATAACTTGATAACCAGATGCTCACAAGGTGTGCTGTGAAAATAAATGATAATCAGAAGGACATAGCAGTGCCAAGATTTTGCAGAAACGGACAATATAAATGTCAACACCCTCGCTTGTGTTTTGACCGCTGATGATTCAGTGTGGGAGGCAAATCAAGTGAAAAAGATATGGTAATGCTGCCGGTTATCTATTCTTGAAAGCCTCCTATAGACAGTTATAAACCTTTTAAATGGCTGTGCAATAACAATACAAAATGACAGAGATATGACTGTGGTCAGTGAGGGGGAAACTTATTACCAACACTGATGCCGTGTAATTTCATACATGATTTGACCTAGGCTTGACTTAATCCTTCCAAATGGCATTAGTGTCTTAATTCTCAGGTGGTACAGTACAATGGTGGCTTTGCTACTATAAGGAAATGAGGGGAATTAGAACATTGACCATCCACTGCTGTTATTTTTGGAAACCTCTTGCTTATTCATTCCGCTTATTTCATTTTTATTAAGAAAATCCAATTGCACAAAATATGCATTGCTACGTCTGATGAGGTGGTGGAGACCATTCGGCACATAATGAGACTGCAGCTCTCCAAATGGGGCCATGCACTTGGCACATAATAGCCTTAACAATGTTTAGGAGACAGGAGGAGAAGCTATTACCCGTAGCAGTGGTGAGAGGGAAACAGAAAGGAGACATAAATGAGCAGTAATCCATCCACGAAACAATGTGGCCACTTCACGAACAGGTGAGGCCAGAAACAAGGAGGCAGGTTAATGAAGTCTTAGGAGTCTTCTAAGTCCTGAGATTTACTTGCATAGGCTGTGGAAGCTGCATTGGTTGACTTGGAGGGAATAGATCAACACTCAACTCTTTTTGAAATTAATTGAGAGAGAATGGACAACCACTTTTTGTACTCCAGAAAGAAGAGAAATACCACAGAACAATCACACACGGTATGCACAGTGTGATTGCAAGGAAACATTTTGCAATGAAATATCTGTCAGTGCATTATACTAGCGGAGAAAAATGTTCAAATTGTTCCCAGGGAAGAAAAACTGTAATTATTAAGGCTGCTTGACACAAGACAATTTCTGGTGAAAAGATAAATGTTTGTCACAGTCACCCTCAGTCAGTGTTTTTCATGGCATCTAAACATTAGTAAGCAGAATATCTAGAAGACCTTGCTGACTGCCATCAACAGCTGTAGTCACTTTAATGACAGTTCAAGCGATGTCAGCAAAAGCTGGACTGTTTTCTTTTTTTTTTTTTAATTTGCCTTACATCACAGAGGTCAGGACGCCCATCTGACCTTTGGCACTTGAGGCGGTCAGCTGAGCACATCCAAATGATTAGAAAAGAAAGCCCAGCACTGCAGGGACACATGGGACTACATGTCACACAACTACAGCTGGTCTTTGCACTTCATTAACTCACACTGTAGCCTAGAGCTTGTTCCAACTACATCTCCCAGCATGCTTTGGGCTTCAGCACTGATAAAAGCCTGTCCTTGATGGGGAAGGAGACACACATGGCTTACTATGTGACTCAAGCAGCAACCATTCACCCCTGCCCTAAAGCACAGAGTCTACAGCAAACTATTGCAGAGGATGCTCAGTCTTGAATTTATATTCCAAAATATTATTTAGCTTTCCTTTTTACCCCAGTCTTTCCTCTTGCGCAGCAATGTGGCAGGAGTACAACAACAAAACAACAAAGTTACCACAATCCTCTTGAACAGACACCCAGCTCTTATTGTGTGATGGTATTGGTAGGATCACTATACTTAACAGGCTCTGCATTATGAACTTCAGTTACAACAACCCAGTATTCTCCTGCACAAAACTGAGTTACAGCAGGAGAATAAAGATAAACATTTGCTGTCTTAAAGTGTGTTTGTGAGTGAGTGTGTAAAAAGTTCTTAAAAAAAAAAAAAAAAGGAGCTCTGTATTTCAAAGGCAGCCAAAGAAGTGTTTGCATCATAACTTAAAATGCCTCTAGATTGCACTATTTTTCTCTTTCATAGCTCTTTGACGTGTGCATTAAACTGAAAAGAGGCATTAGTGGCTCTCCCCTGGGAAATGCAGCAGCTTGAAGCTCAAATCTGAGCTTCTTGTCAGAATGCCTTGGATTGGTTACAGTAGCTGATACACTAATGGACTGACAGCCTAAAAACTGGCAGAACTGACGTAAACAACAACTCAGGCAGCGTGCTTGTGTTTTGGTAAGGAGTCCTAAGAAAAAAAAAAGCTGAACATGTTTTTAAGGAGCTGATGCATTGTGTCGTGGATCATTTAAAAAGGATGCACATTCTACAGTCTGAAACTAAGGTACACAAAGGGCTGTGGAGATGTGCAACTTCTGCAATCAGATTTTCATTTGTAAATTATATGTCTATAATTTAATTTATTGAAACTTTAAGTAGTTACTTGTCACCTCTGGCTCTCTTTATGTTTGTTTTCATGGCTCTACTAGTATTTAAAGATCTACGTGTATGTCTCTGTGTTTTCCAGTATAGTTCCCCTCCATTCTTCCTTGCCTGGCAGGCCGATAGGCTACAAATAGAGATGTAGTCAGAGCAAATCTGGCTTGTTGTGGTGTGGAGGAAGAGGACCACATTGTTAGCTTACTGCTATTGAAAGATACAGACAGAGAAACAAAGTGAAAGAAAGATGGAGTCAGTGTTATATCATCATAAATTATATTATTAGTATTATTGTGTTAACAGCATTTTAATGTTGTAGCAAGTTGAGAAGGTGCTAAATACAACTTTATATATTGTTGGGTCCCTTAATCTTAAGCAAATGCATCATATTTTATAAAGATTTTATATGTAAAAACATATCTGTTGTGTAGTATTAGTGGACTAAAAAGAACAGTATGTCCCTCTGAAATGTAGTGAAGTAGAATATTTAAGAAAATCGAGGTCATCAAGTAAGTACAAGGATTGTACTTATGAAAAATTAAGAACTGGAGGTTGGAGTGGATGGATAGCTTCAGAATTTGAGCTTCAATAGAGGAAAGAGGGAAAGAGAGAGATAATTTAAAAGTGGAAGAAAATGGGGACTACAGAGTGACAGACAATAAGAGGGAGAGACAGCAGGATCCAGAGGGATGAACCCAAAAGAGGAGATGAGGTTAGAATGACAGATGGAGAGGGAGAGAAAACGTGTAAAAGCAGCAGAGAAAACGAAGGGGTGACTAAAGCTAAATAAAAAAAAACTGAATGCACTAAAAAGGATGAGGTAGAGAGATAAACAGCGTTATCAAAATTGTTTCTCGGTTTCCTTCAATAAATAACAACTTGATGAATGCTAATGACTTGGCTAACTAATTTTTCAGCAGTGACAGGGAGAGTGGTAGTCAATTATCTCCTATGTCAGGATACTGCAGAGTATACAGAATTGTATCGTCTTACTTACCAAAGAAAAACTTCTCAAATAGAAATCCATTGTTTTGAGATTTTTCCCTTCGTAGTGAATTTAGCGTTATTTTTAAACAATGTTGTTTCCACAAGCAAGAGTTAAGCTAGCTAACTGCAGTTAAGTGCTGTTGCCCTGGTTACCACCCTGATTTAGAATGTGGTCTAACTGCTGTCAACTGATCTCAACCGCTATTTTAAGACTTTTTGAAATTATGTAAAATGTAATCCACTAGTTGCCTTTTCGCTGTCTTTTCTTGGGTTTTCTCATTTATTGTCCTCTTCAGTAGTCGCAAATAGCCCTGACTCACTGACTGATTGATCATAATTCCAATATTGATTTCAGAATGCGACGTGACTGAGTTGCAGTTTCCTCATTGGCCCTCTAAACTGGTTTTGTTTAAATCACTGGTCAAGCACCAAAGGACCAAAATTTTGCTAAAACAAATAGTGATTAAAGAAAATGGATAATACACCCCTTTTATTTACAATTTATCTAGAGACCCTTTGAAGGGCTTGATCCCTAGCCACTGAACTAAACTACCTAACTTTATATTAAGTAGTTTAAACTAGCTCCACTTTGACCTGCTACAACAGTAAAATGCTATATATAGATGTATTAGTATTTAATTCTGTATTTTCATTAAATAGGATTTGAAATGCAGAACGTTTACTTGTAATGGAGTATTTTTACATTAATGTATTGGTACTTTTACCTAAGTAAAGAATCTGAGTATTTGTTCCACACTCTTTTATTCTGGATATGATTGTACATCTGTTGATGTTGTTGTGATGATGGTGATCTAGTTATCAAGGAGGGAACTATTATATAAGCACACATATTACTAATTCTGTCGTACAAGAGTAATGTGACACTATCTCTGTGTATTGTTGTGTTGTATCGAGTCACCTCAAAGTAAACACATGAAACTGATTTATAGGAATATGCATCATGTGAACATAAAAACGCAAATAATGATAATATGAAAACACTGGTGCTTAATAGTTCTTTATCCGCTTTTGTCTTAATACAGGGCCTAAGGTTATTTTGTGATTGAGGCCCTGTTTACAGGCCCTTGTCTAAATTAGTTTCTGGTGATATTGCTAACACTAACATTATCAATTATCAAGTGTGTTGCATGTTATCATTGCTTTGAGTCTCATTCCCATGCATACTGCGGTATCTGTTTAACAATGGTGACAGGTCTGCAAGGTCTCCAGAGTCACTGATAGAATCACGAGACACAGTCCAATGAGCTGCCAAAGACCCACAAAAACAAAACAATATTCACAGGAATACTATATATTTGATTTATATTCTCACCAGTCGCTGGTTGCCTAAATTTTTAATATGCTACAACATCACAGGCTTGTTCTGAATGCATGCTGCTGCTGGAAATTGCTGTTTTTCGTCATACTGCATGCTTGTATGCTACTATCAGTCCCCACGGTTACAAATAAATAAGGCAAATGTGTTGCATTGTCTTCTTTTCTTTTGCATTTTTATTTTTATTTTTTACATTTTTAGAAGGTAGAATATGCCCAGAACAAGATGCTCTTGCCATGGTTTACCTTGGCAAAGGAGCTTCTAATCTCAGTGGGAATTAATAAACAAATTTTCATGGTGGTAGAGGTAGAATGTGGGAAAAGTTGAGGTTATGGAAAAGTGTCATTTCTGCAGGAGTGTGTGTACATGTGAAAAAGATGTGCAAGAGAACCAAAGACAGAGAGCAGGCTGCATATCAACGCTGATTGTTAAATTTCATATTCCTACATTGTATGTAGGCTTATCAGTGTGTGTGAGAGCGAAAGAGAAACTGTGTTCTTGTCAAAATAGTCTCATGCTGAGAGTGCGGGCATAAAATTTGAATGATAAATACTATGCATCTAATTCTGAGTGCGCTGATGTTTTGCCATATGTTTACCTCGCTCTCCTCAGAGGGCAAGCCATCATTTACTGTCTGTCCTGATGCATGTGTGAATGTTTTTGTGAAAGCGCATATGTGTGTGTGCCCTATTAGAACAGGTGTGTGTACGCTGCGAGCATGCATGGTGCCAGTGAACACTGCCATCTGTAAGTAGGTGGGATTGTGAAGCGGGGCAGCAGGAGGTTTGGCAGACAGTGGGGAGGTGTAGAACATTGATTCCCCAAGAAGGCATCTGCACATCGACTCTGAAAGCAACAGGACCGCTTTTGTCTCTGGGGGCTTTAACAGGCTGCAGGTCAACTGCACACAGGTTCATATGTGGGTATGTATCTCTTCCTTTTCAGAAAAAACTAAACAGAAATTATGGTCCTTATTTTATTTGAACTTAGAGCAAACATAATATATAGGGCTGCAACTAGTTAATATGTCACTAAATCAAAATGGAAAATGGAAATCACAATTTCTCAGAGCCCAAGATGATCATTTCAAATTGCTTGATCTGCCTTAAGAGCACTCAATAAGTTCTTCATTTTACAATGATAAAAAACAAAGACAATGTTTGTATACACACATACATACAACACACATACAAGTAATCAATTATCGCAATTGTTTTAATCTTTCAATTGATTTTTTTTTGTCATTGTCCCTTGAGCCCATAGTAATATAACCATGTACTTAATATGATTTATTTTCTACTAGAAATGAGCTTACATTAGAGAAGAAATGCCTTCTTTACTTCATTCCAGAAAAATGTGAAATGTTACCCTGACTTTCACCCCTCTTTCTTTGTGTTATGAATAGCTAGTAATCTATCTGGAGTTGGCAAACACATTTGGCCAGTCACTGGAAAAGTACAGCATGTTTGAATGATAAGTGAAGTGTCCAAAAGGCAATTTTCATGTCAGATTCTCATTGTGTTTTTGCAGGTTTTAGCACTGAAGGGAGGAGGGGAAGCATTTGGTGTCAAATAAAGGGTATACTATTGAAATGGTAGAGGTACTTTGAGAAGAGTTACTACTTGACGGTAAAATTTTACTGGGATTGTCAGTACTGATGATAAAACTGCTTTAGTTACATGCAATGGTATATTTCAGGTAACTGAATCCCTCCAATCAAATAAGTTTTTTTCGTTTTCAAATGCCACCTCAATCAGTCACACTCGTCTTTCAACTTTTTACATTTTTATTTGAATTTACCCCTGAAAGGTTCTGAATTGCTCTCAGCTCCCTGGGATGAAGCGCCACATTGTGAGGGACAGGTTTGACTACAGACCCAGTTGGTAACTGAGCCTCTGCAGGGAGGGAGCGGGATTATCTCAAAAATGGTCCTCCGCTAGAAAAACTGCTCCCGTTTGTATCTGAGAGCAAAACAAGGGCTTGTTCTCATGAATAACATTGCTTGGAGTATAGCACGACTTTATTATTCAAAGCCTACAAAGGCCTTTGTTGTGTAGAAATAAGACAAGCGACAATGAAACAGACCATAGCTAGGTCTATTTCACCACAACAAAAAGCCTCTTTAAGGTACTTGAAACACAAACACACTTGAAAGAGAGATGAGGGCAAACAAACTGCACGGGAAAAATGACACACTTATCTGAATCAGAAAAACATTTGAAATCCATGTTGAATAAGCCTATTTTATCCATACTGTGTAGAGGCATTAGACATATAGCAGCCTCATCTCGACCTGAGGGTAAAGGAAATTTAAGGGAACATGCTAATGACATAGTGACCTATATCCCAGAGCTCCTACTGGTGAGGTGTTGGCATGTCCAGACAATCCCAAAAAGTGATGATGATGATGCTCCCAGCTTCCCCTATGACCAATAACACCTCACCCGCAGTGACAACCACCTCCCAGCCAACCACTGCTGCCACAGTGACCTTGCTATTTGTCCATTTAAAGCCTCCTAACTACAGTTTGCATGCAAGGAAATGCAACAGAAGCAAGATTAAAATCATTCAGTAGCCTTAAAATAGTGAAGCCATATGACATATTTTCCACTGAGATAAGCCACACTCTGTGAATCTGTGTTAAGACTTCCCTCACATTGTCTTCCTAAAAACTCATCTTTTAGATCTCAGCATTAATAATTCAAGCCCAAGAATGAGGGCGCTGCATGTCTGAGCAACTCCTGACTGGAGATTTTTTTAGAAGGGTATGTCAGGGCAGACATATAAAATACCATCACAAGCAACCAGCCAATCAGGAAGCATGTGAGAGTGGTTAAAAGTACTCACGCTGCCCAGGTTGACATCTCCTTTGCCTCCCCTGGAGAATTGGCTGGTGAGCTGGTACAACATGGTGCGTCCACGCTTCCTGGCCTGGCTGAAGTGAGAGCTGCTCTTCCTCCTGCACCTCTTGTCATCTGAAACTGTCACACAGTCACTCAGATCAGCGCACGTAAATCAGATCACAAGGTTGTGTCACAAGGAATTTCTGTGGGAGCTGGAGACGAAGAACACCTGAGGAGAATATTGTGACCTCGTGAACTCTGACAGGCGTTAATGCCGAATAATTGTTCCTGTTATAACACAACCACTGATATGTAGTTGACTTCCATTCGATTGCATTATAACAAAATGACAGTCTATTTCCCCTGGCATAGTGCTTGGTATTTGAGGCAGACTGTGTCAAGGTTCCACTTGAAGACACACCGCTGCCCAAATCAAAGTCCCCATTGGTAAACATCGTCTGAGTTCAGTGAACGAATGCCAGCCAAAACAAAACTGCCGGGTAGAATGTGACAGTGATGAACAAGAGCGCACAGAGAAAACGAAAGCTGGGGGCCAGAGGATGGCACGCTCGTAAATCATGCTCAAAGTAAGCAAGTAACAGGAGTTTTTTTGTAAACAGGGATTGTAGCCTACCCTCCTTCTTGCTGTTGTAGTGGCCTTTCCCGTAGGTGTCGGTGATGTCCTTGAATGAGAAGAGGAAGAGAACCATTTCACCCCTCTCATTCTTGATGGGCACAATGTCCAGCAGACACCAGAAGGCCGTACCTGGAGCAAAACCAGAAATGTTCATTTAGTGGAGGGTTTTTTTTCCTCCTCATTTCCTGAATGAAGGAAAAATCCTCAAAAGACACATCACAGTGTAAATATACAGGAGCAGGTTTAGAAACTATTGAATGGGCAGGCCAGATGGGGGCACACTTTTAAAGAAATTAGTTAATCTCAATTAGTTAAAACTCAAGCCCTCATTCTTGACAATAATTAACTTTGTTACATTGTTTATTCACTCTAATAAAAAATAAAAATTTAAATAGTCTAATATGAAACTATATAAAAGATATATATACATTCATGGACAGATTAAAAAAAACAATGGGCCCTTGGACACAGACATGTAAAAAGGCCCTCAACCTTTCTTACACAGGAGCAAGACACACAAACTGAAAGAGACGGAAAATGACTACAACTGACCCAGCATTTTGCCTGTGGTCATCTTCCATCTCTAGGTAGTCATTCTGTGTCTCTTTGTAGTTGTTGTGAATCTCTCTTTGGATATTTTATGTGTCTTTGTGGTATTTGTGGCGTCTCTTTGTGGTCGTGTTGTACCTCTGTGTGGTTCGTCTCTTTTGCACATTTTGTGTCTCTTTATAGTAATTTTGTATCTCTTTATGGTCGTCTTGCGTCTTCTTTGTAGTCATTTGGTTGACTTTCCAACAAGAAATACTAACTGTCATGTCTTCACACAGAGGCTCTGGTTCAGGGGCCTGTACCTTGTATGCCCATTCTGTTATCCATCCATGATACTAACAAGCCCACTACCTGTCACTGTCTCACTCTGGTATGGTGGGGGGGGGGTTACGAATAGTATCAATGGGTTACCAATCAGATTCCAGGGGGAGCCTGTGACACCCCTCTAGCCCCGCCCTTGTAAATGTATTTCCATAATGACATCACTCTTTCATGCCAAGGACTTTGATTTCCCATGTCATGTCAGCTCTCGCCAAGTCTGAACTGTGGACACTTGTCAAGTGTGGCATAACCTTTCTAAAAATGTAGCTCAAATTAGATATGGATCATGTTCTGGAGGATTGTGCACAAAGACAAAGAGCAAGTCAGGGGATTGGTTATAACAAGTCAGGCAGAGGAAGGAGCACCACAGATCCAAGACCTTGCCATAACCCAGAACGCTCATTAGCAACTCTGCAGAAACTGTGTGCTCTGCCACCAAACAGATGTTTCACATCTCCTATAGTGTCCCCAGTGTGCTTGTGTGTGTGTGTGTGTGTGTGAGATTGTGTGTGTGTGTGTGTATGCGTGTGCATGTATTTGTGTTTGTGAGTGTGAGAAAAGAGTGTAGATACTGCTGGTTTAGCACAAGGCAGTTAGTGTATATATAACACAAGAGAAACTATTTGTGTGTGTTTTGTGCTTTCACGCAGCAGGCACACACACTCATGAGGACAGTGTGTGTGTCTACTGAATTCGTTTACTGTCAAACTTTATCATGAAATACATCTGCCATCTAAATTATATCTTTACACATCTATCGCTTCTATTTCTCTTTCACTGCTGTGTTTTCTTTTTCTCTTCCATGGCTCTTGTGTCTGCAGTTACATAATATTATCTTCGGGTATATTACAAACGATTGTGTCTTTCCTCTCATTAGCTGTAGTGGCATTGCCTTGCTGTTGCTAACTGTACTGTAAAAAAAAACAAAACAAGAGGACTGGAAGAAAAAGCTTTTTTTCAACTGCAGTGCAGATTTGTTGATCCATCAGAGTAATTAGTGGTTCACACACTCCGAGGCTGCTGCAGGTTTGTGTCTCTGATGAGGAAATATAATCCTGTGTGCCAATCAGAGAAGACTTAAACACTGTTGTGTGTTCTCTTTTCATGCATGACCTCTCATTTTGAGCCCAAGACTTTGTCAGAAGGATTAGCTAGAAGTCAGAGGGAATGAGTTAAACTCAGGATTTAAGCACACACTCAGAAAATATGTACAGTACTTTGTCCTGCAGTAAGAAGTTATGATTAGCCTTGGAAATGTGTGTAAGAAAATGAGCTGAAGCTTGTTATTCCACCACACTGCACTTTTTGAACTTATGCTGAATTAACATGAACCGACTGCTGATTTTTTTCAACTCAATCTGATGGTTTTGTACTAATAATAATGAGCACTGAAGGGCTCTAACTCTACAAAAGAGCATGTATTGCAATACTGAACTGCTGTAGCCTATTTAAAATTCTGCATCGCTGAGGAGATTCATAATTCAGCCAAAATATTCAGCTCTCATCTAAAAATAAATGTGCACTTCATGAGGTTGAGAACAAAAAAAGAATCCCACAACGTAGATGTCACTGCAAAAACTGAACAGATGATCACAGCATGATAAAACCAGAAGAGAATCTTAGAAAAATAAAAAGTCTTGTCATTTCCTCAGTTAATAAATGAGTTTGATCAACTGAACAAAAGATGAGAGGAATGTTAATTTCTCCGTAACCTTGAGTTTTGAATGAATAAGACTACATACTTAGATCTTATGAATAAACACTTTGGCTTTCCCTTCCCTTTGCTCTTTGCCATGCACCCACCGTTCTTCTTGTAGAAGTGGACCTCGGCCTGATACTCCTCTCGGCCCTCCAGAGCCTTCTCCATCTGCTGAGCCACGTGCTCGCTGGTGTCGGCCCCGTACAGGAAGCGGCAGCTGCAGTTCTTTTGCATCACCTCAGTCCTTGTGAAGCCTGTCAGTTCACAGAAGCCGTCTGAGCAGTAGACGATGGGGTAGCCGCGGTGGCCCTGAGCGTTACCCAGCAGAAAATTACTGTCTGCAAGGGGAACATGAAAGGAAGAGCCGGGTGCATCATGTTGAAGTCTAAACTCTGGTACATAGTTTGTCCTCTGCACTAAAATCAAAGTCTGTTTAGCTCTTTGAACTTGTGTCAAAGCTTTGCAGGTTTAGTTCAACACTAGTTTACAAGTTCAAAGTAAACATGAATCAGACTTTGTTGTGGACTAAATTAATTTCCCCAGGTCGTCCTCATCAGATTTCTGAACTGAGTTATATTGCTGTGGTTATCAGAACCACTGTTGTGTGCGGTTAAGGGAATTGGCGTATTGGGCTGCAGATGGTAAGATATCAAAACAGCTGACTGGGGTATAAAAAGAGCACAGAGGTTAGAAATTGATTTACACGTAACTCCAGGCTTACTAGATTGGATGATGTGAACCCTTAAAAGACTTGACCCTTGAATTTAAAAACTGATTGGAAAATAGAGGAGTGCAGGAAAGTGGAAATGAGCCAGAAGAATACACATATAAATGGGAATTTGAAGGAAGGAGAAGATGCGACAGACTTAAGAATGACTTGACTTAAGCCACACTCCACTTTATCTTTAGAAAAATATTTGATCGATGTAACCAGACACAGACCTAATGTTCCACCACCTTCTTGTGAGAACATTTGAATCCTTTAGTATAGAAATGATCCCTTGTCCAACCAATCCAACTGATGTGAAGGAAAAAAGGAAAAGATTAACATTAAGCTGATTGATTACACTGCAGTATAAACAGTATTTTCATATAAAATACAGATGACCAGAAGCAAATGACAATTAAATTACCTTTGCATGGATATAAGAAAGAATTCATACATTGCATAATATTAGGTACATAACTTTACATTACATGCTACTATTCTACTACTACTCTACTCTTCTTTTACTACAGCCTACTACCTCTATATAAATACAAGAAACATATAAACCTGTCACATCACGTGCCCCTGCTTGAAAAAAGAAAATGGCTTTACTTCAAATCTTTATTCAAGCTCCATGATGGATTATTTCAAAATCCAATAAAACACTGGAATATTGTCAGCGTTCCCTCCTCTTATGTTCCTTCACCTGTACACTGCATGTTTATCTCAAGGTACTGATATTACGCTGTGCTTATAAAGCCCTGGATAGAAAAATGCAATATACCTCCATGACCTCAGGAAGATCCATAAGATCCATACGTCTAAATGTCAAACTAAAGTGGGGGAATTAAGTCTGCTGTTCAGGTATTTGCATTGTGTGGATCATACTGCATGAGGCGGATATTTGCTTTACGCCTGTGCTGCTCCTCCACCACCACAACATCTTTGCTTTGATTCTTCATTGTTTCTTACCATACTCTCAGCACCATGGACAGTTCTCTAGCAGCAGGCCTGTAGCTTGTGCTTTTTATTTATTTTTTTTATTGCTGTATCTTGTTAATTTATATCTGCAAGACAAAAAAACACACAGCGCCAGATCTCTCTTCTGGGACTTCATCCACGTGACTTCAGGCTGCAGCCCTCACAGATTGTACATTTGTTCTGCACACCTCCACATATTAATCTTGGTGATAGGTGTGCTGTAGTTTGACGTCATATTTTCCCTTTGTTGCTAGAAGCATGGGGCCTTGATGAGCTAAACCAGGTTTTTGCTGCAGTGTGGTTTTTTTGGCTATGTCTGCCAGAACTACCAGTGGAAGGAACTTTGAAATACAATATATTAAAAGCAGCGCCGAATACAAAGCTGAGAGACTTCAACTGACTTCCACTTCATTATTTTTGCAGTTTTTGATGAATGAAACACATCCTAGAAGACACTGACCAATACAGACAAAATAACAGCCTGAAGAAAAAAAATTATAGACAGCTGAACCAATCCCTTCTCAACAAATCCATAAGGAATTTTGAACTTTGGATTGCATTATACTAACCTGTTATTTATGGATACCAGAAAACAGTGGTTCCCAACTTTTTCTGACACACTCCCACAACCCTATCAAATGGGCTCAAAAATACCCCTTCATCATTACCCCTTTCACTTTATGGTTGTGGAAACCATATTTCACCACAGTGTGTGGGATGGATCTGTGGCTGCACAAGTGAACTCATACAAGTCGGTGGTCTTGGAATTGCAGATGTTCAGGCTTTATCTATCTTAGCACTTGCAGTGATAGAAGCAGGACATTTCAGATATTTATCCATCGCTTCGTAGTTTTCATGCACACTCAATCACAACACATACTGTAGTGCAGTAGGCCTATTGTAGCTGGAAGGTTACTGGTTAATTTTCCTCTTAAATAAAAAACATGTGACTGTACTATACAATCAAATCATAATTTATATTTTTTTCAAATTAGCCGAGCCACTCCACAATCTTTCCATGTACCCTCTATTTACTGCTGAAGTACCTCTTGGGGTTCCTTGGTTGGGAATCACTGGGTTAAAGCCCTCCACACTTATGTATACATTGGATGAGGTGTAATTCCACACTTAATGAAATATCCATGCATGTATATCTTTGCTCATTATTTTCCAAAGTCAGTACCGAGGCATCAAGCTTCACTGCACAGTAACTGACATGTTTCTGCAGCTTGACTGAAAATGCCACACTCCAGATTTTCTGAATGCCAAGCAGAGAGGCAGCACATATATGTAGACAGACAGACCGGTCTGAAATCTACAGATTCCACAGAGAGCACGTCTAAAAAGGAGGAGTATTAAGCAGCTGCTACCGCACCTTCCACAATCTAGCACTTTAATTGGCCAGACTGAGCGGAAAGCAGTCTGTAGGGGATGTCTGTTCTGAGTAGTGACAACCTTTCTTGGGTGTGCAGTGAGCAGCAACTAAATTGTCACTATGGAATTATAGAAAGAGACAGGCATTAGTCAGATCCATCAATGGGCAGGGAAGGTTTTTTTTTTTTTTTGCCTATGCTATGTCTTGCTACTATTTCTGTTCCCCATATATCATTACATGGAACCTGAAGTATCTCTGTTCTCTAGTCTCCTACAGATCTTTATGAATGAAGAGAGAATGATAACTGTTGCTTTTTTTTCCACATTAAGTCACAGCTTTAAAGACAAAGCGCTCCGGAAATCTGACTCCATCTTTTCACATCTAAATAAATAGCCCTAGAAACAATGGGTGAACAAGATGTGATCGTGTTGAAAAAAAAAACCAAAAAAACATGCCCTCTTTTTCATGTTCTATAAATTCCTGACAGCCCAACTCAGTGAGCCAGCAAGTGTTGGAGAGGAACTGCACTCATCTCTGGTTTATGTAATGTTTACCTAAGAATAGGTACATCTCTACTCAGCATCCCTAAATCGGTCCTTCAAATAGGTCAAGAGCAGGTGTAGTCATAAATCACTTCATAAGGATGTATTTAAACCAATGAGCCATGACGGAAAAAAAAAAAAACTTTTATGCTGCGGTTGTTGATCTGCAAACTGTGCTGCTCTACACTGTGGATTACATTAGTCATTGAAGTTATCTGAATGATTCAGAAAAGTTTCATTCAAGCTGCAATGTTATGCTGTTTTTGGTGCATTTAAAGTAACACTTTGGGAAATACTTTTACCAGCTTTCTTGCTGAGAGTTAGATTAGAAGATTGATATCTCTGCCATGTCTGTACGTTAAATATCAAGCTGGAGCTGGCAGGTGCTTATCTTAGCTTAGCATAAAGACTGGAAATAGGGCCTGAATCTGTCCAGAGGTCCTATAAAACAGAAAACTGACGATTTTTACACATTGGTTTCTGTATGGATTAAACAAACAAGAAATAGCATGTTAATGAGTGAACATTATAGCTGCTGGTAGGTGGATTTTGTTTAATTTGGACAGAGCCCCCTATCTCCAGTCTTTTTGCTAAGCCACGCTCCAGCTTCTTTACAGACATTAGAGCTACTTCTCATCTCAAAAAAGCAAGTGCATTTCCCAAAATGTCAAACAATTAATTTAAAATGCATTTTTTCTTACAGAGCGGATAACTATATATCCTGGAAACCAGTCTTTACTGGGGATGAAAAAACATCTCTCAGGGCTTTCACTTCAGCTTCTACAATTTTATACTTATTTCTTCCCTGATAACTTTATAAACAAGCAATCCAGGGCCCACACGAAACCACATTTGATAAACTGTTTGTGTGTGTGTATGTGTGATTGTGACAATGCCTCAATTCTTAGGCCATAATCCTCTCAGGGATATTGCTTCGAGTGGCCGCTCCACTGCGGCAGCTTCCTTAATTACACATCTGTGCTGACTCGCTACAACTGTAATCTGACATGATAACACTGCATGGTACTGCTAGCAACAAGCAGCCTGCACCATGTCTATTGTGCACAAGTTCCTCAGTGTATAAAAGACTGATGAAGCCCATGAGCCTTGTCCTCTGCATCAGCAGCTAATTACCATCTAGAAGCATGTAATTACTTACTGGGGCAGATGGGTGACAGCGCAAGAAGTGGACTTGTAGGGGGAAAGGTCACTGGTCTGGTAAAGAGTTAGTGCAAATAATCAATCACTTGTTTTTTCTGATATCAGTGATTAACTAGGTCATTTTCTAGACTTTTAAATGACAACATCTGGAGCTTGTTTGACAAAAGTATCTGTGCTGTTGTGATCTGAATCCTGTGAATGGTAAAAAGGACTCCAGTTATGTAGCGCCTTTATCCCGGGAACGGTGCAAAGTGCTTTACAAAGCCTCACACCCACTCACACCTACATTCACGCACAGATGGAGGTGGAGCTGCTGTGCAAGGTACAGACCTGCAGGAGAAGATTGAGATTTTAGTGTCTTACTCCGAAAACATATATTTAGGAGGAGCTGGGGATCAAACCACCAATCCTGTGATTACTGAATGATGTCAGTATCAATGAAAGACTCTGACGATGACAAATCAGTGCCGGGATCAAACTAAGCATCTGTAAAACTAAATACAGGGAGCTTTTCAAAAGATGCAGCAGAGGATGAAGCCACACAATAGCTTCAGCTATCCACTGTCTGCAGTGCTCTGGCCTTTGCAGCTGCCTATTAAGACCTGTTCATCAGCTGGGTAACAATGAGCTCCACAAGGTTCAATCTGACAGTCCTCCCTGTCTCCCCTTTGGTTCCTTGGTTGCCTTTTAACAGAAAAGTGTTTAGGGGTGATATAAACCCGGTTCTTATCTCTGCCTGCAGCTGCCCTGTGGTTATGCAGCCCCACAAGGCGAGCGCTGCTGTCAATGTGAAAACGCCGCTAGGGAGGTCGTGTAAAGGAGCTGCGGGAGGTGGGGATGGGTGTAAAGGACAGGCGTGTATGCTGTAACACACACACGCACACACACTACATGCACAGCACAGGGTTGTCACAGGGTTTTAGCCTGTGTGACAACAAACATCTGCCCTGCTGACGTGCCCTGGAGCAAAAACACAGCTCCAGAGGTGCTGTTCTTTAACCTGACCCTGACCTTTGACTTCTGAGAATTTCCCTTCAGGGACCAATAGATGATTGTCACAAACATACAGACACATATGTCAAATCAGCAAACTCTACATACAAACACATGACCAACACAAAGCCCTGAGCCCAGGGCACGCAAAATGCACACACACACACAAACGCACACATTCACATTTCCTTTGGGGAACAGGGAGACTGACATTGCTATGAGCCAAATACTGTGCTGTGCAGTGCCAAAGGTTACTGACTTAACCTGTTCTGACATTTTGCTTGTTGTGCTTGAGTCTATATGCTACAGACAAGTAATTTCCTCAGTCCAGGAGCTGTTAAATTAAAATCAACTTAAAATTGCTTTCAGTGTTCGTAAATGTTATTGCTAAGGTCAAGCGTATTCCAATCAATATTCGTGAATAAAACTCTCACTCAGAGCCACAGACTGGAGAAATAACACCAAAAACCCCCTGATGGCATGAAAGTGTGGAAAATGAAGCTGCACAATAGACACTGACTGGGACACAGATGTCACGCTTTTAAAGCCAAAATGCTCCATTATCTGTCCCAGCAGAGTATACCTGTGGTTACGCTCACACAAAGGCAGAGTGTGGTGTTGTTTTTTCGCATAGTGGAAGCAATCTGAGTAATTATACGAGCATGCTGGGAAAACAAAAAATGTAATAAGACAATGATGTTTACATAAATAACTATCTGATATATACTGCATTTATTCTAATATAGCTATAGGTGAGGACTGTGTTGGAGTGAAACATTAGATGAATATTTTGGACAGTGTTTGACTGCATGACTGCTCAGTCAGCAGTTGTGCTTTCTTTTGTTTTGCTGATCTAAAAGCATTTTTTACTCAGGCAGATGGACTGAAGCATCTATATTGTACAAGAACTGAAAATATGTGACCTGCATCATGTTTTAAATCTTTTCAGGCTGCTGTAGGATTTGTTATTGAGTTTATTATTTTTGTGCAAATGAATGGTATTATCTGTAAGTTTTATTTTCATACGTTATAGGATTTGGTATTAAAAAAAACAATTATTTTCCATGAACAAGTTGTGATTTTAATATATAAGGATTTTTATTACAGTGAAACTAATACTTGATTAGACCTTACTTTATCAAACATTACAGAAAGCTGTTTTTATCAGCTTCTCAAAATGAGTCATGGTATATTTTATACATGACCATTAAAATAAAAGAATACATAAATGATTGGTTGCTATAAATTATACTTATATTGTAAGTAGAAGTCTAGAAGGGGGCTGTGTTGGAGTGATACATTAGATAAAATTTTGGACACTGCTTGGCTGCGTGGCAGCTCAGTCAGCAGAGGTGATGTCTTTTGTTTTGCTGATTTGAAGGCATTTTTGCTGAGTCTATATTCCATATTATGTAATTACAAAAAAAAAACATGTTACAGGCATATTTTTTAAAACAGTTTTAAGGCTTTTAAGTTTGTTTTAGTATGTAAGTATATGTACATTTTGTTATTTTGTGTTAGGAAATTTGCTATGAAAAATGCATGATTTTACATGATGTCTGTTTTGTGAGGAGTTTATCTTTTAAAATGTGTAAAATCATACCTGGGAGGAAAATATACTTTGGCAAACTATCAGCTACAAGGCAGATATATATCTTATCTTAAGACATAATAAGATTTGTGTGATACAGCACCAGAAGCACAGAGACTGTTTCCCAAAAACTGCCTTCTAGTCAAACAGCCAGGAGAAGTAACATTTTTGAAAGAAGGGGAATATCAACAAATACTGTACCTTACTATATATATATATATATATATATATAGAGAGAGAGAGAGAGAGAGAGAGCGAGAGAAAGAGTTTCTAAAATGCTTCTTTCTAAAACAAGAGAACCATCTGCCCTCTAAAAGTCCTTGATTGGAAAAGCAAGTTCAAGTGTTTTCTCTTTGGCTTACCATTTTTTTCTTCAAAGACCAAAGTGTTCAAGCATCATACATGTCAAGTGGCAGGACCCTGTTGCCCCGGAAACAGGAAGGAAGTTATTTTGAGCGGCGGGCACGCTGCCACTCCTCTAGGAGCCACAGCCTTATGGTGGCTTTGAGAATGGCTTGAAAGTGGCAAAAACTGGCATGTGGTTGCAAAGACGTGTACACTGCTGTCTGTCTGTTGTTGTAAATTGCCATTATTTGGCATGCAGGAAGAAGGATACGCACCCTGCTACAGTGGTGGATGTGGGCTCAGCTGTCCTGTCCAGAGCTGCAATAGTGCTGCAGGACTGAATTACCACAACAAGTAAAAGAGGCAGAGTTCAACACTATAAAGCACTACACGTTTGTGGACATTACTATCAATAATGAATAAACAAAACAAAAGAAGAGAAAATGGCAGATCAAGAAGGTTTCTCATTAAATAAACATTGCTATTAGTCTCTACGAGAAATCATATTACACATTAGAAAAGACACTGAGCTCGAAAGGGAAGTGTTTCTCTGCCCCTTGCTCTCTTACAGAGGGAGGTCAGAGAGCGGGTTCAACCAGAGAACAACCCTCTGGAGTTTGCACAGGGCTAGTTTAGCTCAAGGACTCTTCAGCTGGGTAGATGCAACATGAGGGCATGACCCTCGGTCCTCCAGCTGAACTCTGTGCTACCCACGTCATCTCTCGATTCAAGCGTGTTTATATTCGCATCCCACAAATCTCCTAAATTTTATTTTAAACTACAGTCAGTGTTCAGATATGAGAACAATTCCTGATGAGCAACATATCACAGTGCTTTAAGCTCTAGAGAGATCCTCTAACACCTCATTAGGATGCCTGACTCACAAGTTAAAGCTATAATTGCATACCCTACACATCAATTACACAGTAATGTCACCCGTTTCACAGTGTTTATTTCCCCAAGTCAAACTGAGACCCAGCTCAGAGAATAACTGTGAAACAGCCATTCATTCAGGCCACTGCACCTGACTGAGGGAGGACAGGCTGAATCGACAAGCGAACAAACACAGACGTCCCCACGGTATTTGTTTACAACGAGCCACAACCTCCCCTGAGGTGGCACAAGGTAAAAAACAAGCAGACACAAGCCAAGCAGAAATGGCAGTGCTGCCTAATGGCTGCAGCGGCTAGGTTGGAGCTAATTGTGTCAAACAAACGTGAAAAGACAGCGTGATTTCTGATGGTCAATTTTCTGCTCGTGTCTTTACTGTAAAAGTGCAAACAAACTTTTTTTCTATATACTAGTGCGGCCAGCAGCAAATGTTGCATTAGTCAGTCAATGTGGGTTCTGGTTCAGATACAGAACATCAGAGACTGACCTGAGAACAGATGTATCTTGCTCATATTCAACTTCAAGCAGGTGATGAAAAGAAATGAATTTGTTTCTGGCAGTGTCTCTCTCTCAGAGAAAACATCAAGTATTTTGCAACCAGCAAGTCTTTCATTTTTCCTGTGATTAAAACTATCCTTTAGCTGCCAAAAGATTTTGTTGTGACTTATTTTTAAAGTATCTTTGGCCTTCATTAGATAGGATGCACTAGAGAGGTGACAGCAAATGAAGGGAGAGAGAAAGGGGAGATGTCATGCAACCCCAGCCGGACTCAAACCGGGAACACAGCAATTACATAGTCAGCCACTTTAACCACTGGTCCACAGGACACCGCCATTTTTAACGATTAAGAGTAAGGAGTGTGGAAAACCTACAAGTAATTATCCTCAGTGTTTCCATCGTACTTACGGGTGCCATCGAAGCGTGTCGCGATGGTGTCCAGAAAGGTGTTCTGGGGGGCCAGGAGGCCCTTCATCACCGGCATCTTGACCCAGAAGTGGGACGGCCAACAGCTGGCTCGAGGTCACACCATCCCAGAATCAGAGCAGGTGGCTTCCAGGGGCTCTCAGCAGGTGCAGGAGACTTCGAGGGAGACAGTCCAGTGGCAGCCGCGGAGACACACATTTACAGGAAAAGCAGCCAACCTTCTCCAAGCGACGTCTCTCCCCCAAAGACAATAGTGCAGCCTGGGAAGACTAAAATAGCTCACTTCAACAATGCAGGGGTTCGGGTGTGGGCAGCTCAGATAAGTACAAATTAACAGTAGCAATCACCAGCAGCTGCTCAGTCAACAAGGAGGGATCATGTCCAGGTGACGCTGACATCCAAAGAGCTTCAGATCTGTCAGCCCAGCTGTTGCTCGTCTGCACCTTTCAGCCCGAGAGCTCATTCCAGCAGCAACGTGGAGGAAGTTATCCTTTAAGTCCACTGCGTTTTCCATCTAGAAGGGGACCGAGAATCTGCAAGACAAAAAACATGTGTCTACACCTCTCTCATCCCTCAGCTCAGTGCTCTGTCAGGATGCTGTGGCAGAGTAGTTGCATCTTCTTGAGCTTTCTCCCCTACTCGCTACTCTCTCTCTCTCTCTCTCTCTCTCTCCTCCCTCTGTCTGTCTGTCTTGCTCCTGCTTCCCTCCACTCCTGTGATATCCCAGCCAATGAGATGCTGGCATCCTCTGTGGGGACCTGTTTTCATCTGTGGCGGGGGTATAGAGAGATAGAGAGAAAGAAAGAGAGAGAGAGAGAGAGAGAGAGAGAGAGGGAGAGAGAGGGAGAGAGGGTGTGGGAGCGGGAAGCGAGCGGTGGAGGGAGGAGGGAGGGAGGATGCTTTTGGAGCAGGTGACAGCACCATTACACCCCATAGTGCTACTATCAGCACATGGCTTTTGTGTGGATGTCTGCAAATCAAGGAAAGATGGATTACCTGCATGTCGGTCAGTGCAGCCTATTGTATTCAGTTGGACTGTGTCCTATTGTGCTGTTCTCTCATGGGAGTCTGACTCAAGGGAAAACGTGAAATCGAGGGTGGGGGGGTGGAGGGGTGGGGTAATTCACATTTACTTATTTTTTCTTTTACATCTACTTTGCTGAGTGAAGGAGTTGCATGAGCTGTAATGACTGTAGCCCTCAAATCCCATTCCTAGAATATGACTGTTTCAAACTTGTCTCTTCTGGATGGAGCTGGTCTCTGTTGCCCTCCCAGCCTCTACAGTATCCTCATGAGAGAATTAAAGCTCTGGGATGAAAGCCGCTAAGAGGGGATTAAAAGGATAAGCCTGGAGATGTTTGTCATGAGGACTTGATGCTGAACACACCAAAGAAACGTCGTGTCTCAGCTCACTTTGACCCAAGCAAACAGCACCGCTTAGCTGATGAGGGAAATACCTCTAGATAGGGATGTCTATCCTAAAACATATCTTGTCCATTTTAAATGAACTTTGTCAACAGTAATCTCATTAGATTTTACAGGAATCAGGGAAAGATGAGCCTACCATTAATGTAATTAATGTGATTCTCATTAAATGTTAATGCTTGCAAACTGCATAAGGTAACCTGATAATTAGATGGATCTTTTTGTTTTTGAGATGTTAAATGATGGGAGTCCAGCACAGGTTTTAAATGCAATATTTTAACATAATTTGTCCATATTAAAATGTTACAGCTTTTGACAGGAGAGGGTTAGAAAATGGGCAGAAGACTGAGACAATTCTGTTCATTTTAAAGTCGGTGACGAGAGGTTTCAGCAGAAGTAAAGGTCTGAGTTTTACTGAATTGTGACGCAGAATTATCACTGTGATTTATGTGGAGCTTGAGGATGTCGAGGTTGTATCGATTTACCCAGCCGCTAGAGGAAAAAGCAGAGCAGGAAAACGCAGAGGAGATTCTACAACAATATATCATTTCAAAACTTAGGAGCATGTGAAATAGGCTACATGTGACATATTGGGTTTGAAACGGGAATATTTCTATGCCCCTCATAGAAAAAGAAAAAAATCTTTACAATACATTTCCTGGACCATACATCAAGTGTAACGTCATGCAAATTGGGAGACAAGTAAACAAAAACTGATGAGAAAAGAAATATAAAGGAACAAGTTTCTTGCGGGGGCATTGGTAATCTTTCTAAAGTTGAACTGATTCGGCAGCTGTGTGGGCGTTTCCTCCAGCCAACAATGAAGTTTGTAATCTTTAGGGTGAAAATGTATGTATGGATTGGATCTAGATTGACAGTCCTGGAAGCAAACTGCAGATCTCTAAGAATAACCAGGTCAAAGAAGTGAATGATAATCACACTGGACACATTTAATGTGAAATTTAAATGAATTAAAATGCTAATTGGATGAAATTCAGTAAATCCTGATTCTGTGTGGGGAAGAAGACACTTTGTAAACTCATCATTAACATCCTGTCAGTCAGAAAATTCTGTGGAGAAAAGGTGATTAAAATGCAGAGAGTAATTAATCCATCCATCAGGCTGCACAGGTGAGCTCCATTTGGAGAAAAAGGGGGTGAAAAAAAGACAACCAGTGAAAGTAAAAGACTGTCTCGCAGACTGTAACAGGGTATTGTTCCCCCTCTCGGATCCTATTCAAGCCCTGGCAGCCATTCACTGCTATTTATTTTTAATGGCTTCTCATTGTCCCGTCTTCTTGTAGTTCATCCATCTCTGCTTGTCTCTAATAAAGAGGCTAATCCATTAAACATGCTCACTATCTACTCCACAGTCTAATACGACAGAGTGACGCACAGGCAGCCAGGTGAAATACAATCCCAACTACATTTCCCATAGTTCCTAGCTTGTCTAAATGTCTGCTGGAGATGAAACCTGAGGGGTATTACTTGATTTAAAAAGGGTAAATTCAAATTTGAAATTCAAACCGAATCAGCTGTTTATTGATATTTACAAAACAAACTCTTACCATTTTAAACCTGAATGAAAAAAACACAGCCTTAATCCTGATTTAAACTGTAAGATAGATAAGCTTTTATATCCGGCATCATTCACTCAACATGCAACATCCTTTCTCTCAATTAAACACGTCCTCCTTCCCTCAGCAAACCCATTGAGAAATCAAGCCCATCATTGTCAAATCTCTGCTGTTTATACTGAATTAGCTTGTGACTGAGCAGATGTGCACAGAGGCTCTATGTGTTTGTGTGTGTGTGCACAAATCTTCTAGGCCTGTGTGGATGACAGACAGAGGAAGACACACTACCATGACACTCAACAGCAACTAGAAAACAACCAGAATAAGTAATGATGATAAAATTTAAAAAAACAAAGTCAAAGCATGGATCAAATGACTGGGAACACGCTTGATTTCTGTATCATATTCTCACAATAAAACAGTGTCATCATCAACAAACAGTTTCTCCTCATTCCATTTATCACAGTCACTCAAATTTTTGAGAAACTATCATACTGAATTGTAATAAATTAATTCACAAAAGTACACGAACACATAAAAATGATTTAAGGTCCCTGTTTTGTTCAAACATAACATTTTCAAAGTGCGATCTTGCCAGACTGAGACAATAAGGCACGTTTTGTAACTTACTCCTGCATTTTTACGTTCATTAGTTTGGGAATCTTTTGACTTATGGATGAAAATGATCCTTCATCTGACATTGAAGTCTGAAAATCAACACAATTTGCACCGTCACAATATTCACCTATTACAATGGCAAAGAAAAGCGACAGTTCAGTGTCTTCGTTTTCGTGCTTCCAGCTCTTTAAAGCTAATAAATGTCTGTGTTCAAGCTTCATAAGTCAATAGGCAATGAACCTGTGACCTCGAAAGTGCTGGTGAACGTGAGGAAGATAAGAGACTCTCACTTCCTCAGGTAACTACAGGTTAAACCCTTTAAAACCTCCAGAGAGGGAAAACAGCCTCTCAGCCTCTCTTCCTTGGCGTCACCATCTCATGAAGAGGCCCATTTGGTCTGAGCTTCGATGAGGTAAATTTAGCTTTTTATGCTTCGGTCTGATCACACTATGAAGCCAAAATAAAGCCAGAGCAGTGTCAAATCTCTGCTGAAATGGGACATTACTAAAAATATTAGCCCACTTTGTGAGCGGAGAGACCTGCAGGGAAGGAGTGAGCCATGCAACAACACATGAGACTTACAGACTTTCAGAAAGGGGCTTGTTCAGTGTTTAGCTGCAATTTTTCTTTGACAACATGATAAATGTTTGACTAGAAGTGCAGTTGGGATAAAATTTTTATTAAATACAGTAATGTTGAAGTTAGCAAAGTCCAAACTACATGTCATCTAAATATAAAAAACGTATAAAAATCTCCATTATTCTGCATTTGCACTTGAGTAAACTGTTGTTCAGACTCTTGCTTGCCTCTGGTTTTATGTTTGGTTGACTTACAGTGACAGGCTTCACCCTAAAGGCACTAACAGAGATATGATCAAGAATCCAGCTTAGAGAAAGGGGATGATAACACAAATAAGTAGTGAATCTGGCCGCCTGAAGCCTGACAGCACAAATGTCTTATGTCTTACACATGAGACTAGCCCCCTCTAGTGGCTGACGATAAAATCCTGGGACTGGTATCATTTGTAAATATGAGTACGGTAGTTGGTCAGATGGTGAAAGGTAAATAAAACCCACACCAGCTAGCGTGTTTTCTGCCAGCCAACAAGAAGCAACAGAACTTCTAATCTGAATGATCCTCTGGGCTCAAAATGGGCAGAAATTAGCAGCTAGCTGCAGGAGGCTCTGAAAGAAAGCTGGCAAATTTAAATTATCTGGATATTGTGATTCCAAAGGGAGAGCTTATTAAGATGAAGGAACAGTTCTGGAGACAAATGCAATAATAATTTTCAGCTCCAAGACATGATATAAAGTCATTACAATAAACTGCAAATTGCATGCTTACTTTTCCCAGCATACGGCACCCACTCTCTGCAAGAGGACACAAAAAGGGACAAAACATGTAATGCTAGTGAGTCCAGATTTCATAGGCTTGTTCCTGATGAGGTGAAATCCTGTACAGTATTTCACTTTCAGATTTTTATTTATCATTTACAGTATAAGAGGCCATAACCTACAGCAGGATTTTACTTGTGGAAATACAAAGTTTCGGAGTTAAAGGGCTTAAGATGCTTTTCTCTGCTGCTTTGCAGCCCCACTCCAAGATTTATGCAAATAAGGTTTATTTTTACATGAAAATCTTCTCAGATGTTGCACCAGATGGGATCTATTGAAAGGGTAATATTTAAAAAATATGTAGCAATGTAAATGTTAAACTTGAGCAAAGTTAGTGGAGAGTTTTCTAATGTTCATTTTGCTTTTTCTCTAGCTGCTGCAAAAACCGTCACAACACAAAACTAAAACACTTTTTCCTCAAGAATATCAGCCACCTGTTATAAGGCAACAAAATGAAACCTGGTTAGATTCATTTATGTAGCAGTTTTTCACTCATAACTTCACTCATAAATCTTTGGTACAGTATATACACTGCATATGGTTTAACTCTGACTGTCATGGAGGAGAGATGAGGATCATAAAACAAAGCTATAGTAACAGTTTAACAGCACCCTTTAATAAAAATTATAAATATGGTGGAGAAAATACATCAGTCAAATGAACATTTTTAATTGGCATAAATGGATGATGTGTTTTTGTCTTTAACGGTTGCCAAAGGCACAATTCACCAACTCCTTGATGAAAAGTTGATAAAAAACCAGAGACATGTCAGTCAGTCGGTGCTCACCACAGCCAGAGTCACAAGCTTTATCTCTTTCCCCACAACAGGAGGCTTCAGGAAACCGTTTTTCCCAATAAGAAATCAGCGTATTCTTTCCTGCGCAGCACCCGGTGCATTTTGAAAGTGTTGGGTGATGTGTTTGAGTAGGCCATCATCTGCTTACGAAGCTCCTTGAACGCACCATCCGCCACCAGCTGCACCCTCATTGGTCCGATGCTGCCTTTGATACGGAAAGACTTGTAGACAGCCGAGTCCTGCTGGAGAGAGATGTCCAGCTGGGAGGAAGGAGAGAAGACAGCATTCAGAGAAAAACAATAAAGAGTGATTTTATAATAAAGTGCGGGCATGCTGTGTATTTTTGCTGCTTTCTCGGATTGTCTTACCTTGTATCGTTGTTCCTCTGTGAGGTTCCTCACACCTTTCAGCTCTACAAACACCTGGTAATGAGGATCTGAGCCGCCTATTGAATCTCCTACAACACCACAGTGAAGTGAGATTCATTACAGCGCAAACTGAATCAACACTCACAGATTACAAATGCTGATATGACCGAGTGGCATAATCGAGACGTCTTACCCAGGATGCCACTCTCAGCGCAGCAGTAGTCGACCAGCTGAGCTCCTGGCCACTGAGCAACAGCTTTCTTCAGAGCATCAAGGAACAACACTTCAGTCACCTTCTCCCCTCGAACGTTCAACATCTGGCCACGTCTGGCAGGAGACAGAGGCAGGGAGAAAACATTTAACATTTACCTAAGCACACATGCATGAGTATGAGATGATACACTTGCATTAATTTGTACTGCCATACTGTACCTGTACTGAAACTCAACGATGGGGCACTGATTATGGAACCCAACTACTTTCACAATGTCTCCAACGCGATATCTGTGAAAACAGCAAAATACCAGTGTCACTTATGTAGCTGTAACAGTTAGTTATAATGTTCAATTCTAATTGTATATCAGATTGTCTGATGGAGCCAGATCACAAATCTTGACATTAGCTTTATCATTCTGAATCTGTCATGATAGATTGCAGTGAAGTGACAACACATCACTAAACCAATAACACAAAGCAATCATGGGACATAATTTCATTCACAGAACCGAAGGGCACTTGATTGACAATTAACCCTTTAAAATCAGAGCAAACAAGCCTCTGTATAATTCAGGCAGATAGATAGATGTTTCACTACGCCATGTAAAAAAAAAAAATTTCGTACCTGAAGAGTCCTGAAGCGTTTGTAATGACAAGTTCGTAGTTTTGTCCCTCCTTCACCTCCTCCATCAGCAGGGTGTGAGGCGTCTCCTCCTCCAGGCTGCTCTCGGGCAGGAACTCACAGAACATGGAGCGAGGACACAGCAGATAGCGTCTGCTTGTCTCCTGAGGCCACAGGTTCACCCCTATTAGACCTGGAGGGGCCCATACATTCAGTTAAAGCTGATGGATGACTTTATAACTTGTAAATATAGAAATAATAATCCGAAAAATCTTTTAATTGGTGCCATCAGTCATTCATGCTCAGACCTCGATTTAACCTCAGAGATCTCTCTCTTCTGTTGAGACCAAAACTAATGATGTTGACGTTTTATTTTTGATTAAACGATTAATCAGTTAAATTATAAACTGTCATCAGAAGTTATAACAGCCAAAAGTGGCATCGTTAATCTCTTTATCGACTGACAATGAAGAAAACACACACAACTCATTTGCATCTGTGAATCTGCAGCCAGCAAAACTACTTTATATGGTAAATGACTAAAAATAACGCAACTGGAAATCACTGAATTTTAACTTTTAACAACTTAACTGAAGAGTCCTGCTGTGTGTAAAGCAATTTACTTACTGTCATTCTGTTTAATATATATTTAATGCGCAATTTGCTTGACCGTGGATTATGCGAACTCATGTGGGCAGTAAAGTAGGACACGCACCTTCCACATGCTATGTCAGACAGAAATTTCCTGGCCACCCTACCATCAAAACTGACTTGACTTTGTCATTTACACCAGCTGTTCCCACAGTAGTGTCCAGGGTTGCATAATGGTTCTTACCTTCAGTAGCAGCATAAAAGGGAGAGTAGAAAGGAATTCCCTGGCAGTAATTCTCCCTCAACATTTCCCCGTAGATCTGATTGGAGCCTGAGTCCACCGCCAGCACCAGGTGGAGGTGAGGCCACAGCCGCTTGGCGATCCCCCTGAAGCCGTCCTGGAAGTGGGCCCGGAGCTGAGCGGCTCTTTCTGGGTCTGGCTTCATCAGAGCTTCAAGCCCGGCCCTCACTTTGGGCTCGAGAGCCAGAGCACCGCTGACCTTTCCTCGTTCAATGTCCTCCACAAGCTCCTGCCAACGATCCTACAGGACAGAGAGGGAGAGAGATCAGATAGAAATTACATTTTGAAATGGTATCATTGATTTTACAATTATGAACTAAATTTTTTTTTTTTTTTTTTTTTGTTTCTTATTATTTTCTGTAACATTTTCCAGTTTCCTACATGAATTTAATCAAGTAGAGAATAGCATGATGTAAAAAAACACATAAAATGTTTATACATGACATGCAACCTTTAATAAATCGTGACGTGAACGATGCAGTACCTGCAGGGCACTGAAAGCATAGAAAACCGTGGAGGCAAAGTTCGACTCCAGCGTTCCCACACTGGGATCTTTCAGAGCAAAAAGAAGGTGCAGGTAGAGTGTGTCCTTCTCACTGGGAACCTTCAGAGACAGGTACAGTACAGTTTAGTTGGAAGTCATTAGGAAATTGAATTAAGTTCTGCATGCAAACCAAAAGCAAACCATAAAAACAATGTTCAGTAACGACTAAAACCTTGAAGTGTTAATCACACACCGTAAATCTTTCATCACGGGGCGAAGACGTAACGCCCAGACTAATCAATATGTTTATTGTACCTCAAAGGCAGGCGCTGGGGTGGTGTAGAGGTTCAGCATCTGGCGGGAGGAGGCTGGTGTAGATGAGTTTGGTCCAATGGGAATGCCGGCCTCAGACTGGCGAAAAGTAGGTGTGTAGAAGAACTTGGTTGTGCGCTGGAGGCTGTCGGTCGCAGGGAATGCCTGACGCATGGCATTCAAACACACACTCACTCCCTGGTGGAAACACACAAATAAAAATTGTTATTATCATAGTTTTATATGGACAGTAGCACAACACAGGCTGCAACAGGGCCAACACATCATCAAGACCAAGCAGTGGCTTCACCTGCAGGAAGAACTCAGTGTTGGTGTCTTTGGTGCTGAGCAGCATGGCGCTGGCTCCTGACGTCCCAGAGGTCATTGCCAGGATCAGCGGCTTCTCAGCAATGATCACCTTCTCCTCTCCTGCAGCGATGTGTCTGATGAGCTCTCGGTAGTGCTCGTATGTGGTGATGGGGTGACGTGCCCGGAAGGTTGCACTGTCTGAAACAACGTCAGTGTAACTGTGAACAACCAGTTTAAACTCAAGTAAAGTTTGCTCAGAGATTATTTTGATTTCCGCATTTTATCATTTTGTAATCTTCACTTCGCTGATGAAGACCATGAAATGAGGTTAAAAGCTCAGAGAGAGCAAGTAATTGGACCTTTGAGTTGAAATTATACAATCATAAATACTGTTACCAAGGTCAAGAATTAACTACAATGTTCATGTCTTCATAAAGCTTCTTCAAGTGACCCACAGCTTTATCTTAGATCATTTAATTCCCCATGGGTTTGACAGCATTATAGTCAGAATGATCTTCATGCATATTTTTACAGGCAGGACTTTTATGAATTTGAAACATTTGAAGAATTAGCATCTTATATGGGATTCCGGCTCTGTTTGCTCATTTTTGGATAAAACATGCAATTTGAAGATATTAATTAATTTAACAGCTGAATGAATCTAAATTGAAATAAATAAATGTATTTATATTCTGATAGTCTGTTAATCTTTTTAGCCAATTTTTAACTAAAATGGTGGTTCCAGCTACTGAAATGTGAGAATTTGACACATTTCTTGTCAGGTCAAAGTAAATAAACGTATTTTTGAACGACTGTCTAATGAAATATGAAATATGTAAACATTGCCTTGAGCTCAGAGGAATTGACAGGCATTTTTCACTTTTTAAAGACTTCAAGTGCCTTGACCTCGGTAAAATCCTGTTTCCTGCCCTGCTGTCATTGACTGCCGTGCAGCCTATAGACTCTGACCATATATAAGCAACACACAACCTTACATCACAGTAAGTCAGAGGACAAATCTGCGTGAGAGCTGGTTTTACAACCAAATGCCCACACGCCTGGAACAGTTCATTTCCACAATCTTATTTCGTTTCTTACCTTTGATCGAGCAGAAGTCAAACTGTCTTCCATAACATGTGTTTGCGTTTTTACTCAGGCGCTTCAGCAGCGTCTCCTCCTGGACTCGTTTCACATTGAGCGTGTCGGATTCAAGTTTCTTTCTCTGTCGTCTGCCCAGCCAGCCCAAAGCCTTCACCCCCAGATACTGACTCAGAAGACCGCTTAACGTCCGGTTGTCACCCTTCATCTTCGAGCTAATGTCCCTCCAAACAAGTGCCATCCCGGCCAGGGAACAAACACCGAGGGCTACAGGCAGAGGAGGCGGCATCCCTGTGAACAGCCCTGGTGTTACACAAGGAACACAAACGGAAAAGGCGCCAGGTGGGGGCGCTATTAGTCTATATTACATGCGTTACCTGTTTTACCTACAGACAAGACGGACAACTGTACACTGCTGCTGCTCCAGGACACTGTTACAGCGACATTTTGCATCATTTCACACATTCAGCTTCATCATATTGAATCCACTTACCCTGCTTCTGTCCAACGATGGCGACTGCAAACGATAAAACCGCAAAACACAGGGGCACAGCAACACGAAACCAGGACACAGCCATCTAGACAAAACGTTGTGACCTAGTCTTTCTGCTGTTTTAACTGAATATAATAACGTTTAGGCTGCATTTATGTGTCAAAGGAAGAGTCTTAACTTTTGCTCTCGCCACTGTTTGAGCTTCTTCCGTGTTTTGGTCACAAGCTGTCACTGATTGGTTGACTATACGATGACGTTTGCCAATCTGTTCTCCACGTGTGCTGTTAATAAAGATATTTATAAGATTTATATATATATAGATGTTACTTTCCATCATATATCAGTATTATTTTGTTATTTTATGAATTATATTATCATATATTATATTATATAGAAGATATATGATAAGATCTTTATATACAGTCTATGGCTCTACAGAACCATTGAAATAAAAAGACAAAAACAAACAAGCAAACATAACTCAAAAATTCTATCCGAATTGGTCATGATGTCACGCTAAAAGTAGTAATCTATTTTAGAAAAATCATCAATAACAACGACAACAATCGAGATTAATGTCATGTTCTCTTTATAAATTTAGGTAAATCCTTGGTACCTAAAGTTAAAATCAGTACATATTACCATATTATATATACAATATATAAATATTTTTACTGTTATTGATATTAGTTTCATTTTCATTTATATATGTTGTATAATTTGATGATAAAGGAACTGAGCTAATGCTGCACTGAAACTATACAGTAATTATGATTATAATTTATGCATTAGGCACAGGATTTGTCTGGTCTGTGATTACTAATTTGAAAAGCAATGTTAGCATCAGGGCATTAATATCAGCAGTATTGTCCTGAGCTGCAAAACATGTAATAAGTCCTTCTTGCCGCTGGCAGTACATTAGTCCACTGAAACCCCTTCATCAGCTCTCCTCCTCAGAACCTGCAAAAGATCAGAGACAACACTGAAACCTTTGATGCTGGTCTGTGCTGGAAATGATCAGTCAGAGAGATCTGCAGTTCGCTCACCTGTTTCATTTCCACGGTGACAGCTGATCATGAAAGAGGACATAAATTATGTTGTGTGCATGAATTAATAAACACATGGTTGTGATTATTTTAGATGATGTTTAGATGTCTTTGCTTTTTTTTTTTTTTTTTTTAGACCAACCTGCCCAAGTAAAGGGTAACACCAAGGGTCCATCGACAGACGCACCATGGACCAGCTCAGCTAGCCAGGACACTTCAGCTGGGTTGTCAACAAAAACCTCCTCTGGTTCATCGATGCACCACTCAAACTCTGCCACAACAAACATAAACACAGAGATGCTCAATGTGCACTGTTGATTTTCAGCTTATTTATCTACATTATCATTCATTGTGTATTCTAAGAAACCTTTTGTGGTATAGAATATACAAGATGGGAAGTAGCTGCCAAACATATTTGATCATGGATATTTTCTTCTCAGCTAACCTGTGACAGAGCCTTCATCTTCCTCCTCCTCCTCCTCCTCCTCCTCTTTGGACCAGGCTGTGCTTGTTATCACTGCAACGCTGCAGTCAGACATTGAGGATGTGAGGCTGCCGCTTTGAAGTGTCTGTCTTAAGCGTGCCATGTCACAGATGTACGCCTCTTTGTAGAACTGACTGGCTGCAGATACACAGCAAAAAAGAAAAAAAAAGAAAGAGACACCTTTGGCTTGTGATTATGTAAGAAACAGTTTAAAGGTCCCATATTGTTCTATTTTCATTGCTTGTTTTCAATACTGTTGTAGCTTGGGGTCAGATTAATATTCTTTGCAGGGTTTTCCCAAGGACAATATGATAGGATGTTCTCACTGGAATGACAAAACCTATTGAGAGGAGGCATAAAGGAGTCTGTGATGAGTCTGAAATAGTGACAAAAGGATTTATCACTGATTTATATTGCAAACACTTGGCCTAGAATACGGAGGCTGTTACCTCACGGACATGTACGACAAAAAGAAAACCCTGAGGTGTTGGAGCAGAGTAGGATGAGCCTGCTGACCCTGCATGTCTTCCAGCTGTTGGATGTAGTTGACTGCATCTCTGGTGGTGACGCAGAGCCCGTGACTATCACTGAGGTGCTTCAGGACGTGTTTGGAGTGGAAGGCTGAGTGAGTGTAATACACCAGCTTCGGGAGGCACAGAGAGCCGACTGCAGCGATTTCAAACCTGCTGCCCTGGAAAGCAACAGAAAGGTCAAGACCAAAGCTCGTACAGGTGTCAATATGCAAGTTTCTGTGGATATAACTATGCATAGGGGCGTATGATGTTCTTAGGACCAACCTGGAAAGTGAAGCGGTCAATATTGGTCCAGGAAAAATCATACAACAGACACAGTTTCCCCTCCACCCCCTTGAGAAAAATCAAAATCAGTTCACATTTATAATACAAGCCATCTCAACTCACTTTTCCAGAGAATTTAATTTACATCTACGAGTCAAACCCTTCATGGATTAATGTGCATGTGCCAAAATGAATTCCCTAACTGAGGAGGACCCACCTGATAAATACGGACTCCTTTCACTGCCACACCAAGAAGGATTGAACTTCTCAGCTCCTTTTTCTCCTGCACATAAAAGAAGCAGAGTTTAAAATATAAAACATGAGCTCATAAAACAGATGCTGCAGCAGAGAGTGTGTTTCCTCACTTCAATATGTGCAGAAATGCAGGATGAGCCACGATGAGGCCAAACAAGTGATACTCAGCTCTTTTCTCATGCCAGGCATCGGAACAAATTTGTATAAATGAACAAGATAAGTCAGATAAACAAATAATTCAGCATGACTGAGTTTCATTATAATAGGACCAGTGCTTTTATGGTTATTAGGGCCCATTTCTGGTGGTTTTCCTCAGCTAATTTAAATGCTGAGCGTGAGTCGGTGCAGTCTGACCTGTCTCATCCTGTAGAAGGTGACCAGTCCATCCTGCAGGCTGCTGGCCTCTTTTATAAACTGCAGGATAGCTTGGCTACGTGACACGCCTCTCAGCTCACCGTGCAACACAGGGCAGTGCTGGAGCAGGTAGTCTCGTCCACGACGCTTTATCAGCTGAGCACGCAAACATGCACATAAAATTAATATGATTTCTAAGGTTAGGTTTAAAGTGTCACACTTATTTATTTATTTATTTATTTATTTTTTTACCCAGGAGGGGAAGTAATCTTCAGGAAGAAAGTAACATCTGTGTTTTCTCTCCTGTCTTTTCTCCTCCTCTCTCTGCAGATCTCCGACTTCAGCCTGAAGCGCAGACGCTGCCAGCTGGAAAAACAAAGCTTCCTGATGGCGGCTCTGTGAGCGCAGCGCCTTCTGCCTCAGCTCAGTGTAGTAGAGCTGCTGTACTTTGCTGCTCCTGAAACAAAGCGGAGATCGGGTCACAAAGGTCATCTTTGTTTCATGGAGGTTTTGTGAGCCGTCATTTCATTTCACTGATCAGCAGCTCATGAAATAATAAATAAGAAAACATAATGTTATGTTGATTGTATGATTATACAGTGGCCTGTGCAGAGGGCACGACATTTATGATTTGTATTTGGGAGACCAACTCACAATATTAGCAGCCCATTCTCCACATAATACTGCACCCTCAGGAATACGATGAATGGGACCTGAAAAGTTAGAATAAATACTTTAACAGAGTCAAAGAGCTATATTACTCATTTTAAGAGTTTTCTAAGCAGTCTAGTTAATATTTGAAGACACAAACAAAATTCATGTAACAAAGACCTGATGCTCATTAAGTTGTGAGATAATAAAAAAGAAAAAGAAAAAAACTCACTGTTCTGGAGCCTCTGCTCCATCTTTTGCCAAAATACTTGCTCAGCTTTTGGTCCAAATCCAGAAAGAGATATTCATTATCTGAGGAAAAAACACACACATTCAAGGAACATAGATCAACATCAAGTCCAAGGGTAATACTGGGAACAGTTTTATTAGTATTCAAGCAATTAGCAAATAATTAATGTCATTTTTAACTTCACAGGCTGATAAGAGAACAAGTGCATTCATTACGAGCAGCCTCCCTAAGTCTCAGCATTCCTCAATAGATGAAGTGTAAACATTTTCACTTGACGCCCACACAGACAGTGACTGACCTCTGAGAACAGCCAGGCTGAAGACCTGGAGATCACTGACGCCAAGCTGCCTCAACACACTGGTCAACACCTCACGGCTTCTGGCTTTTACCTGAAAAACACACTCAATAAGAATGGGACACACACAAGAGCTACGTGGCTCCGAGTCTAACCTGTGAGTTTTGGGTTCACACTGATACAGTATTTTTCTCATTATTAGGTATCAGACAGTTGTTTTGTCCAATGCTGACATGATGGAGATGACTCCTTGATTACAGAAACTGTAAAATCAGATATTCAGTTATTATTATTATTTGATTATTATTATTTGAATATTCAATCATTTCATTATTTCGTTTCGCGTATTGGGTTGAGCTGAACACTCTGATTTGAAGCATTTATGTGTTCTTACCATTAGCTCAACCATCCTCTGTTAAAAAGATGTCAGCCCTTATTGAGAGAGTTCAGGGATTTTACGAATGTTTCCATTCGCATGGTCAAAATACTCTTGAAAGGCAGATCCAGTCTGCTCAGTGCAGAATTTGAACAGATACTGAAACAGATACTCAATATTTCAATTTTTGCATTAGAATAATTAAGCTCAAGCACAGTCCTGAACTATACAACCAAGTAAGATAAACAGTACCCGTCTTCAAAAACCCAATTCCCAAACCCAAAGCAGGGTGGTCCATGTCCTGACTCTGGCATAGAAGAAAGGCCTTTAAGTGGGAAAGTTAATCTGGGGTATATGATGCATCGGGATTAAAGTGAAACAAATCAATAAAAGGACTTTGACAGCCACTCACCCTGACAGTACAGTCCAGGTGCTGCTTGTTGGGTAGAAGGATGCACACTTGTCGCCTCTGTTTGGTCCTCATTGTCACAGTAAGCTTCCGTGCGTCTCTGTCCTCCATATATCCTCCTCCTGTCCTCCCACAGGCTTCACAAGCAAGTCAGCCCTCCCTCCTCGACCTGACACCTACTGACTTATGATATGGTGTATTTTGTCAAACAGGCATCAAGTTAATCTGTGAAGTTAACTGTAGAACTGAAACAATCAGTCCATCAATCAATTAGTTGATTGAAACAAAATTACTTGACAATTAAACTGAAAATCAATCAATAATTTCAAGCAAGCAAAAATACCACATTTAGCATTTTCTGGTTTCAGTATTTGCTGCTCTTCTCTGTCATATATGATCATATACACAGTACTGTGGAAAACATTTTGGCACTGTAGATGTTTAGATTCTTATCCATCAGGGAGGCATCTGATTGGTCGCAAAATAAATTCTTGCTTTTACTGTGGCAAGTTCTCCAAGATGCTTGAAACAACCAACCAGCCGAGTATGTAAGAAAACTGTGAACAAGTGTTTTAAAGACAAACGGTGGTCACGCCAAATACTGATTTCATTTAGGGTTAGGATTAGGGTTAGTTTTTTCTATTTCTTGCATTTTGTATAAAGTTAGCTGATAAATACAAACTATTATTTCTGAAAGCCTCCTCCCTTTTAGTGCCATACACTTTTACACAGTACTGTGTACACATTGGGTTGAAACAAGGACCACCTCTGCCTTTTTTGGGGACATTCTTCGCATATTTGAGAGTCAACAGTGTGTGGACTGGAAACACTGGATCAAAAGGCTGGATCAAACTGCGCACACTGTGGTTACATTTTAAGATCATTAAGTCTTAGGCCCCATAATTTAGCAATTTTCCCCACTTCTTCAAATTTTGAATACAAAATGATTGAGAAAGTAATCTGTAGAATAATTGATAATTAACATAATTATTGTATGTAGCTCTGCTTCAGTGTTGTGTGCTGGTACCATGCTTCAAAATAGACATAAGTGAAAGATATTGACATTTGATATCCACACAGTTACTGTCCCACCCACAAAAAAATAAAACGACAGACAAGAGATCTTTGTTAATCTATCATTAATTTATTTAAAAACAAAATCTAATAATGCCAATTGTGCTTTGCTTTGAGAAAGCAAGAACAAAAAAGTGACATTTGTTTTTAGTAGCTGGTGATTCTTCTTATATTAGCCACGAGTTCTCTCCACTTGTGGGTGTATTTTTCTTTAAGTTACAATCTACAGCGTTCTTATGGATTCCTACATGAAATAATCTTTGTTAACATGCACAAAAACACAACAAAAAAACACAAGCAAAGAACACTACAGTGCATTCAAAAGGCACCTGCTCCCCAGACACAGGCATGTATTTTTTTTTTTATTCTACGAAGTTGTACATAGTTGTAGTGGGATGTTGTTAATGCAGCTTCAGTAGCAATGAGTCTCAACAACCCCCCCCACGAGCAGTTCATGAAAACTACATCATATCTGTACCGACTCTATCGAGTATTCTACAATATCACACTGACCTTTTTGTGGGACAGATGAGATACATTCAAGAGGTAACAATTTTATCTCCTACACAAACAACTATTTTTCTCTTCCACATTAATTCACACACTAGACTGTAAAATACAATTCCCAGGTTAAGCAGAGTTCACATTGAAGAGTCGATGATTAAAGGCGATCAGAGAAAACATGCAGTACAGTACATATAGTGGTTTTGTCCCGGTGGAGGGCTCCCTCAGTGTGGGGACTTAAAACAGATCTCATGGGCTCAGAAATGCTTTAAATGTCAAAACGCTCCGGCTGAGTTTCAGCATGAACACATGTTTCTGGACTCACGTTCCCATTTCAATAACATACTTTTCTGTTCCTCAACATGCTATAGGTGCCATTTACCAATCCTCAAACAAGTTACCTTTCCCATTCATGGGTTATTTCACATATAGATTTGACAAATTGCATGAAAATATGCGAAGTTTTGATATTAAATAAAGATGTATGGTAAGAAAAAGCATTTAAATTAATTTCAACAAGCAGCGTTGTAGACCATTGTCACCAACTCATTCAGTATAAATATTCATTTTCATTTATACCGTCAGACACCCGATACCCGTTTTCATTTTATTGCCGTGACAGATGATGAAAGTGAAGCTCTAACATTCACACTGTCTTCACATCATCAATCTGAGATACTGGGTTAGCGGTCCCTCCAATCGTTTCATCAGACTTTCTCTGACCTTTCCAAACACACGCCTTCCTCTTTTTTCATCAGCTGTGTATCATACACCTACATTAAATAGGACGTTAAACCTTTCTGTTTATGATTTAGAATTAAACACATAAGACAAGACCAGAGTCCTGTTGTGTTACTAAGTTATTTTACAATGAAACTGAAAACATCTGTAGCTAAATGCACGGCTTTCTGTGCAGTGAGGCTCCACTATCGGCTTTTAACCCCACTCATGTTTTACTTTGGTAGTTTGGATAAGTTTTAAATTTTCATCCTCAACACGTTCTGCTACCAGAGTTTCTATTCCCAGCCTGCCTGACACTATTTATTTTGACATGCATTTTAGAGCAAAAACCTTAAATGATCGGGGTCTACTTACAGGTAGTTTAAAGTGTGTTTAAACTACATTTTTAGAATATGATTTTGAAAAAGTAAGACAAACGTGCTGGAAAACTGAAGTGAAACATTATTTTAACGGTGAAAAAAAAAGTATAGGTTAACCTGACAGTTAAGGATGACAGTATTTTTTGTTTTCTGAACCTTTCCTGCTGCTCACAGCAGTCTGTATTTAAAAGTAAACAACTCAAAAGGAGAAAAATGTCCTCCTCCTTTTTTTTTAAAAAAGTTTCTTGACAGTACGACAGACAGACGATCTTGTTCTCACTAATAGCTAACTTTCACACACCTGATCTATTGTTCAAATGGATTACATAGTGGACCATGCACTTCCTCTGTCTGACGAATGCCCAACCATTAGAACAAAACTGCTCTCTCAGCACTGGTGCTATAAAAGGCTTTATACATTGTCTAAATTATACAGGGAAAAATTGTGGTAATCCCAAACCTCTGCTGTCCCTGAAAAGCATGACCAAAGAGTTTCTGAGCTCGTTGCATTTGAACGCAAGTGGATGTGATGGCTGGTATTAAATATTTTTAAGTGCTGTGCTATGTAACATTCATTGAAAAGTGAAAATGGTGTTGCGCAAACACAAAGATCAAAGTCACTCTTCATCAAAACGCATGATGAAATGTGTAACTGAATGCACTTAGATGTTAGTGGTTTGAATGCACTTAACTGTAGATGCTCGTGTTTAGGCTTCAACGAAACTTTGAACAGGTACGTTTTGTGTTTGCGAAGTAAATATTTTTGAATAGCTGAACTGCTTTGCTGCTTATTGTTTTGATATCTTAAACCAGTAACTGTGCAGAGTAACTGGCCTTAACTTGTTTGCACGGAGGATTAGATTTTTACAGATATTATTTTGTAAATGAAAATTTGGATATGTACGCATTTAGCAGGGACACTGTATCTCCCAGCAGTCAGCAAATCTTTCATTTAATTTTTCTATGTTATTAAATTTGATGACACCAGAGTGCATGTATTTAAATGCACTGCAAATGAGAGACTTTGCGTTTGTGGCCTATGTACAGGAATTTGTTTTCGAAAGTTCACAAACTACATTTTGTTTTCTACTGTACGATAACAGTGTGCACTGGAGAGAATACTGCAGTTTTACAAACAAGCAGAAAGAGTTAACATAAAAATATCTTTGTCGTTGGTTATGTTTACCATTATTTTCTATGCATATTTTGCTTGTTAACTTGTATAGACGAACGGCAGCTTCTTTTGTTCGGATTGCTGTAAAAGTGATTCTCATTTACTAACCTGCTTCGGTATATTTTCTGATCGTTTAAAATCTTGATCATATTAAAACCTCTTGACGTCACTGGTAAAGTTCACAAAGAGAAGATGATTCCTAGAAGTACCTCTTCAAAGCAACGATACATGTGTTTTATCAGCTGCACAGTTCTAAGACAGGGAGTCATAGACTGGAACAAAAAAGGGAAGACTGGCTTCAAGTCTCTTCCAGCTAACAGCTAACAGTTAGCGGCTTTTACATGAAGGCACTTCCTGGTAAAGCTTTCCACAGAGTAGCACCTGGGATTGTTTAGAAGTAACCAGTAGAAGCCCTTTATTGGAAGGAGCCTGGAGTCTGAGCTGGTCTGAAAGGTGTCTTGGTCACAGAAGTGTGAAACCTAAGATGTACTGCAGGAGTTTGTTCCGATTGGCCTGAGGTAGAAAGGTGCTGCTCAGCTCCAGAGTGGTCACCTTGTTCTCTCTCCTCTCCTTTAGGACCTACAGAAAAATGACAACACAAGAGGAACAACTTAACCCAAGCTGGAGGAAACTGATTTATTAACACTACAGCGCATTTCAATAATTCAACACAATCTTACCCCGAGCTCTTTGAATGTCCTCACTGTGTTCTTAACCAGGTAATGAGTTGCACTTTCACCTGAAAATAAAGATAGGATTACAAAGGATTTAGACATTCTAATATAGATATTCTAGAGCTCATTAATGAATTTATAATTCTGAAAAATGTCACAATGTATTGCTTTATGTAATCTGCAGTTAATTTACAGTTTTGGATCTGAGTCATTTTTGCCATTGGACCTGGGTCTGTCCATATTACAGTCTTGGGTTAGTACATTAGCTCCAGTACTTAATGTGGTTTAATACAAATTCTATTTTAATGATCCAAGCGCATGGTCTAAAGTGCATGGAGGAAGAGCATTTAACGGTCGCAGCGCCACGCACATGGTTCTCTTAATTAATCATGGGAGTGTTTTTCACGTAAAAAGGAATAAATCAGAGTGCTATTTCCCATTCCCTTTAAAAGCCAGGCTCTCTCTCTCTCTTTTGACTGTCCCTGAAAGGTTTATTTACAACCACGGAAAGCAAGCAGGTTAAGAAACCTATATTCTGTATGTCTATGATCTCCTCTGCTGTTTCAGTACCAGCAGGGACCTACACACAACAAACAGCGCAGCTGGAGTTGCATTGGTCAGTGTGTTTATTTGTAAGAACTTAGACTTGGATGATGGATTTCAGGGAATAATTTGCTGCACTTTTTCATGCAGTGTATAGTGCTGTATGTGGGCAAAAATTTCAGTGTTACCATAAGCAGCAACTCCTCTCTCGGTGCGCGTGAGCAGGTATCTGAAGAGCCTCTGGGTGTAGTCGGACTCAGCCATGGGCTGACTGAGACTGTGGACGAAGATCGCTGCCCCACTGTAGGCCTCCAGCACTGGGCTGAGCAGCCGCTGAAGGAAGACAAAGAACTCCTGGTGCTCTGCGGAAACGCTCACCTGATTGACAGAAATCAAACAAACAAACAAACAAACAAAAAAACAGTGAGAAAAAGTCAGTGACTAGATGCTGCCTCGTCAAACACAACTTGAAAAGAGTTCTGGAGGTTGGACAGTGCATGTTTTAATGTGCCATGGTGGCGATTCTGTTACCTTTAATAAAACTGTTTAAAATAAATCATTTAAATTAGACCTTCAGGTAGCGATCTCTCTGTTCCTCTCCAAAGTCACTGTCCTCATCCTCCTCATCACTTCTCCAGGACAGGGGCTCAGGGAACTTTTTGGGCCAAGGTTCGTCTGTGGGGCTGGGACTCAGTTCCTCTTGGTCCTCCTGACACACACACAAACAAACAAATTAGACCATCTGTGCAATGGAAAAGTCCCATAAGCAATTATAGTTAAGAGCACTTCCCAAGATGTTCACCGTGACTCAGCTTCCAACATTAGTCACAGCGGTTCCTGACATTTTTATCCACCAGCAGTGAGGTTGGTGTGTAAACTGACCTCTGCTACGTAGAGAACTCCATACTGGATCAGCCGGGTCACTGCATCATGGAAAACCTGGTAAATAGTCTGGCAAGGCTGTGGGGATGGAGAGGAAGTGAGACAGGGAAACATGGAAGGAAACATTTGGATTTGTTACGTGTTAAAATCTCCGTCAGCAACAACAGCAACAACCAACATTTAGTCAAATCTAAGAGTCTCAAAGCAAATATCAACAGTAATACCGCTGGACTGAAGCTGCCAATAGGTTATCAATAACTTTAATTCAGACCATTTTCAGAGAAGAAATAAATACAAGGATTCAATGTCCTCCTATTTGAAAAAAAAAATCTGGCATTAAGTGGTACCCTGGCATTGGATTATTAACGTAAAGACCATTAAGAGTAAGCTTTTTAAGAGTAGAGTTTTAGAGTAAAGTTCTTGTTTTTCCTCTAAATATTTTCATTACATGATTGACTCATTATGTACAATTAACATAGTCTACAAAAATGGGAACAAAAGGTGGGACTTACAGGTGCCACCGCCACCTCATTGGTAAGGAAATGGGAGAGCCCGGCAGCTTTGCGGATGAGTCTTTCCTGACTGAGAAGGAGGCTACTGGGAACATCAGACTGGTGATTGGTCTCTGATTCCACGACCAGCTCTCGCTGCAGTGACAGGATGCTGCAGGCTGGAGACAAATGATGGCAGCAATTTAGTGCAGAACTGTGACGTCTTGGAATAGGGGAGCCTGATGGTATCAATGAACTTTCTAATCACTAGTCTAATCACAACCAGTTATCTGACCATCAACTCTACACCTACATATTTCTTTCAAAAACATTAAAGCCTTTCTTTCTAGGTAGGGGTAGAGGATTTTTCTTTGGAAGAGCAGGCGTTACGACACTTGATGACAAAGATCAGTGATACACGAGGGTGAACACAGAACAAGAACTAACAACTTGCTGGCTCAACATACCAATGATTGCATCAGAAATGAAGACATGGAAAAGGCCATTGCTGTAGAAGTTGAGCTCGAATAGCGCTGGTACAGTTTGGCTGGGAGCGATAGTGAACTCGCCATTGCGATTTGCACTGCTGGTCACGTTGACACAGTTTCCCAGGAGGTGGAGGGCACGCATGACCACATCCTCTGAGTTCCCCGAAAAGCCCAGGTCAAAGTCCCGTGAGAGGATCTCCTCCTTCATGTTGAAGAAGTCTTCCACCAGCTTTGACAGCACCACCCCCTGGAGCAAAGAGGAGGAACAACACAAGCTCAAAAAATTAAAAAAAAAAATAAAAGAAATGTGGATCATGTCCAGAAACTGGCGACTCCATAAACTAATCAAAGCCAAGATTCAGGACAACAAAATTCTTGGCTCAAGTTTGTTATATGTGGCACTTGCCAATTCCTAAGGACAGAAAAGACAATTTCAGCTAATTGTTTTCCACTGTCACCCACTTACATCAGTGTGCCTGCAGAGGGCAGAGGCCCACCACTAATGTACAGAGATGACGAGAGTGGATGCAGGAAGAGCAAGCTCTCTAATGGAGAAAGACACTCATCACTACCATGCAGGTGTATGTGACATTTGGATCACCTTGGTGTAAGGAAGGAAAGCATGAAGAGCATGAGGTGGGTAAATGGGGGGAAAAAAAGAGAAACACAAACAGGAGAAGAAATCTGGGGAACAGATGTGGGAAAACCCAAAAGAAAAAGGGAATGTAGAGAGTGTGGTGGAAGTGGTGGCGGGACTGTCATGCAGTTCGAGGAGATAGAGGGGAAATGAAAGACGGCCAGACTTACCTGTCTGTGTCTGTACAGCAGCAGACAGGCCACAATGTGGGTAGACATGATCGCTGATGACTTATTAGCCGCTGTGAGGTAGATACAAAGATGGCATCATGAGCAACGATAATAATATCAAAGCAAGTTTGCAGCTGATTAGTCTTAACTATGTTGGAAAGTAATGCCATGCAGCTGGAAGGCAGATAGTAGAGCTCAAACCTCAGACAGAGATGAATACATGTAACTCTTCACCTTTTAAAAATGGCAGTATCTGTACCTATTTAATTTTTATTTCCAAGACGATAATATGATAACTATGCCAGACATCAACAATGATTTAAAAGTTCTCAAATTGTATTTACTTGGCATCTTACTGACTGAAAAACTAAATGATATAAAAGTGTACAATAAACCAGTGTCTTAGGTACAACTGGGGAGTTTCTTTCCAGAAACACAGGGTTAAAAAGATCCAAAAGGGTTGATTACATAGATACAATATTCGTGGGGCAGTGAAAAGAATATAATGCGCGTGCATGTGTCCGTGGACATCGGTTAAAATCGGTCATCTTAAGCGTAGTTCAGGTTCAAGGGAGTAAAACATTTGTGAGCACTGGTACTGCATTCCTCCCTCTTCTGCTTCTCTATCCTCCCCTTCTTCCTATTGGCTAAAAACAACATGCCATCCAGCTGGAGACTCTGTGATTGGTGGAGCATTTAAAGAAAAAAAAAAAAAAGCAGCTGAATGAGCTGGGGAGAACCGGTTTGTGTAGTGCCACCCTGGGGCAAAACGCCTTGAGTGATGTGAGGCGGATGGACTGATGCAGTGCTGCGTTGGATTTCAATTAAAGAGGCAGTGTGATGGATGGCATTTCGTGAGAGCTGCCTTTTCTCCACTAAGCAGGTGCACCTTTAACACAAGATGAAAGGAGAGCCCTGTGCTTACAAAAGATAAAAGGAGTGCCTCATAGAGCAGAAACCATGTGCTCTGACATTTTCTTGAGTGAGATGTGATTTTTTACTTTTAAATGAATGTGGCATCCTGGTGGGTTTGTGATTGCTCATGACCTCTGATCACACAGAAACATTACAGACAATACGTTTCCTGTTAACAAGTAGTAAAATCACTAGGTGTGTGATTGTGAATTTCTTACTGAAGAGGACGTGCTTGGCCAGGTTGTTAATGAGTTGTCGCCTGAAGATGTCATCAGGCAGCTCTCTGTTCATCTGCTCCTCCTGCCCCTCAAACAGCTGAGCATCAGGCCTGAAAGAATAACAGTAACAACTAAGCATGTAAACACACAGTTGGACAATTGTTTCATTATGTCGGCTTGATATAGTATGAAGATTTAAAAAAGTGGTTATGATGTCACAACAAACACCAGCTCATTTCACTAACGGTTTCCTTTTCTTGTTCTTGTTTAACAGAGGCTTGTAATAAGTAGCATATGATGCTGAAGGATTTGAAATTGAAAACCATCATAACCTCTATGACAATTAAAAACCAAGTATACATGTTGTTACATTACTTAAATAATAGTTTACACTCAAAAAAAATTGCATAACTGTATCTAACTGCATCAAAAAGGCATTACCCTGTCCTGTACACTACTTTCCTGCACCACAGCTGCAAAAAACTGCAAACCCTTGTGTTTTAAATAAACACTAGTCTGAACTGAATTAAGCTGATACCTATTAATTAATAATCGACATTTGGTAAAATGTTAATTATTAATTAATAATTTACCATTACCCTCTGTGGGGCTGTTTCTGCTCACTTTCAGTCTCTTTTATTTCTGGACATATGTCATATATTTTCATGACAGGACAGAGTGTTACTGGAAGTGCTGTAGAGAACATTTAATGAAATAGTGTTTGAGCAGCCAGGATGGAAAGCTTCTGTCCTTGTGGATGTACTAATCAACAGTATCAGTTTTATTATAAGGGGACAGCACTGAACTGAAATGACCCCCGCCAATGAACTCAAGTGGTGTGCTCAGATGTCAGATAACCCTGACCATGCTGTGAATTAGCAGGAGGGAGAAGTCAAGTGTGGACACGAGGGTTCATAATGTTACAGGTGCATGTGCACTGGGAGGACGAAGATCTCAGTCATTTTTAGGGTGGGGAGTGTGTGTGTTTGCACTTACTGTGCAGAAATAATGGTGGGCATCAAGGTGTGTTCGAGGGACTCTGGTGGTGGAATATGGCGGCTTCTCTGAGTGCCCAGATATTCCTGTATTAAATACACAAATGGTTCATTACAAATACAAACTAAGAGTAGTAAACACAGCAATAAGTAGTAGTAGCACTTTTATTGGTATGAACGCTGACTTGGATCTGAGATCAATCACCTTCAGGGAGAAGGGCTGGTTGAAGTCAACTCGGACACAGCCATAGTTCTTCCTCAGCATCCTGAACACTCCACATGCTATTCCCCACAAACTCTCATTCTTCTTGGGCTTGCCCTGTAAGGATCGAGAAGTTTCATTACTTTATATGAATTACTTTCATTAATGACTTAACATTATCAAAATACGCCACAAATTCAAAAGCCAAACAAAATTAAATTCCATCGTGTGTATGTGTGATTTTTTTTTAATGACAAAGTAAAAGTGCACACAAACAACAGACACCATCCAAGCACTTACCAACTGCTCACTGTTGTAGTTGCCCTCAATAATGCGGTCGTAGGAGATGCCAACTGGCACCACCAGGACATCTGCGATGGACCCAGTGCACAGTGTGTCTACCACGATGGACAACATGCCTGCGCGTGCTGTAGACGGCTTACCGCTGCGGGAGCGTGTACCCTCCAGGTAGACCTCCAAAAATTGCTGCTGACGCAACAACTCCTCTGTGTACTGAAGGACAGAGAGAAATGTCCGAGTGAGAAAGGTGGAATAAAGGTGAAAGAAACAAGGTCGCACTACATCTTAGAAGTGAGACAAATGTGCAAACACTTTGTCTAAAGGTCATAACACTTTTGGCAAAAATCCAATTTTCAGTATATTTTTGACATTAAAGCACAACATCGACTCTATTACAAGGTGGAAGTCAAGCAAAGTAAAGGCTGCGCAGCAGCTGTATATGCAGCCTGAATACAAGTTAAAAACAATTGGTGGTCACCAACAGTTTGACCCCATCACATTGCAAGGAACTGGGCACGTGCCAAAGAAGACGTGGTGTGCAATGGTGTCCTCCTGAGAACAGTATGTACACAGCTGTCTCTTGCTATGTAGACACTTTTGAGAAGAGGCGCTTTGTCCTGAAATAGCTTCTAGGCTGCGGCATTTAGAGTAAGCTGTGAAGAGGATAGACATCCAGACATTTAGGTTCGGCTTTCACGAGTGCAACCAGAGTTAGAACTGCACAGTCCGTTTTTTTCACTGCTTGTACTTCTGTCTGTGGAGGAGTTTGGCTAATTACATTTCTGTGAGCGACAGAGGAATGCCGGATTGAAATCTTATCTTCTATCAAAGGAAAGTACTGCTTGGTCCACTTTTCACAACTGCAGCAAATTTTTTATACTCTGTTTGGTGGGATGTGTGATAAACTAGTGGGTGCAGTGAGTACAAGTACAAGGGGATAAATATGCATGTATGCATGTATGTAGGTCATCATTTCAGCAGCTCGTGTCTTCAGCTGATAACACCTATCTTACAGGAAAAACACAAACTTATCTTAGAGGGACAATACACAGTCTGTGTTGCGTTCATTATTCTCAACTCTCCCACAAACTCCAGCCATTCTTAATTCTGATAGACTGGTATAATTAAGTAGATCCATTAAGTTGCCTAGTTATTTGTACAAAGCATGCTTAGAGTCTTCATGCTACAAGCAGCTTACGATGAGCAAGCATTAATATTAACATTAATAGTAATTCTCATTAGTTCTACTTCAGGTTTTCTCATTAGCAGAAACTTGTTAAGCCACATTATCCAAATACAAGAGCTGAACAAAAGGTACAAATTCCAGTTTTAATCAGCCTCTTCTTTCTCATGCAGCCTACTCATAAAGCTTTTGCACCAGTGCCTTTCTCGAGTTGCAGAATGCACACATCAGGATGGAAATACATTTAAACCAGGGTCACAGTTGGAAAGGCTTCAATGGTGGGCAAAAACTATGTTCACTGCATGTTAGGTGGTTGTATTGACGCTGCTTTAAAAAACGAAACAAAACTCTTTTGGACAATTCAAAGGTAAAACAAATGTTTACTAAAACGGACATAAATATCAGCATCTACTGCTCATCATGTGATATTGTATACCAATAATTCAGTTACTGACAATGCACCCAAGCGGGTTAGGTTTAGTTTGATGAAGAAAGTAAAATTGACAGCATCGGTACAGTGAAGAGGAGCAGCATATTTCAGCCAAATACCATTTTAGTTTTACAGCAAACATTACAGGATTGTGGTGATTTCGTGATGCATAACTTTTGCTGTAATGTGCGAACGCGAGCCAAGTGTGGAAAGCCTATAAATGAACACCAGAAAGAGAAAAAAAATTGCCCAGCTAACATTGTATAACAAGAGCTTTTAACTCTGCCTGTCCATCACTCAGGAATGAAAAGAGCAAAGAGGAGAAAAGCATGAAGACAACCTGCAATTACATAATGACACATTATAAAAAAAAAACAAACAAACCCAAACCCACAGGCATTAACTGAAATCATCAGTATTATGTAAACCAGCCTTTACTGTAGAAGATAAATAGACTCATGGGACTTACTGCATGTAAGAGTGATCTGTACAAAACATCTTTCTTCCCATCTCCTGTCTCCTCCATTTTCCGTCGTATGAAGAATCCTCCCAGTTTACGGATCAGAGTGCTGGGGTGGGGAAAAAAAAAAGAAGTTTGTATCTAAACATTTTCTGCTGTTACTCATAGATTTCTACAATTTTTAGTGCAGAATTTTTCAGGTTTGTATCTCTATAACATTCTTTTTCAATTAGTTTTTAAAAACACTTTCTTCATTTCCCTAATTTTTCCTTTCCTGTATCCTGTTACCGTTTGACACCTTCACTGCCCTTAGCAGGAATTTCATCCTTTCTTAATCCAGAAGCATGAGGTTTGTAATTTTGTAATTCTTTTGGTTTAAATAAAGATGGATCAGGTTAATACTCTTGGGGCCTTTATCGCGAGTACCTATGTACTATAAAAGATCACTATGATTGGAGACAGGTTAGAATAAAACTGGTTTACAACCTGTTGTCAGGACAGCTGCCTGGTTATTTAAATTCCCTCAATGTAAAATCACTGCTTTAGTTAAGCTGACATTCCTCATTGGTCTATTTCCAGGGAATTCCCTTTCTTCTGATATCAAACTCATTGTTGTCTTTTCACCTACAGAGAACAGAAGGACGCTTTATTTCTAGATCAAACTTGACATGAGGCTTCATGAGGCTTTTACCTGAGGATAGGGATGCTTAGGTTGTTTCCAGCAGCGATGTGTGGGGCTTTGATGTTGTGACAGAACAGGATCAAGGTGATGAGCAGGTAGTCAATGTGGGATTTGTGAACAGGGAGGAAGACCATGGGCACATTTTGCTGTAAGGACAAGATAAAGATGATTTTTTTTAAATAAACACAGGCAATCACTCAATGCAGACAAAACCTATCCAGACAATGGATATGTCAGAACAAAACCTTGTCTTCTAATTCTGCACGAATGATAATAATAAGTAGGACTGCATACATATAACAAAAAAGCCCTGTTATATATGTATGTATAAAATATATTTGTGGTGTGCCTGTCAGACATTGTGTTTAGCTGTCAAAACTATACAACTATGTACATGGAAAACATACACATACACATATACATTTTGTGGAGTAGATCATGTTGTGGCAGCTCAATCCTATTTCTGTGTGTGTGCTTGTTACTAACCTCTGTAGCAGCTTTCTTGACCATTTCCAGCTGACCTTTATGGATCTGGATGCTCCAGAAGAAACCATTAAAGAGCCTGAGGAGGACCCATCCTGTCATCCTGAACAAAAAGAAAAGTGAAGATACAGAGGAAAAAAAAAAAATCTGCAATTGTTGCCGTGGTCCAATTTAGTGTAAGGTAACATTCTGCAGTACAGCACATGTGACAACAGTACAATGAAAGAGTGTTTTCTGTGGTTTCCTCTAGAGGGTGGGGTAAAGGTGTTGCAATATTCCTTTAAGTCTGGTATTATCAATCAATAACTATAAAGCAAATGAGATAAGATTTCTGCTGTTCATATACCTGATAAAGGCTGGTGAAATGTTGGCCACCATCTCCTGGAGGAAGGCCCTGGCTTTCTGCTTCACTTTACTGACAGCTTTGTGCTCCTGGCCAGACTGGCTGGCTGCAGCATCCAAATCTGTGGCTACCTTCACAATAGCCGTCTCCACTCTGCAATCAACCAATGCAATTCGCAAACATGAGGCTGCATCTTTTAGCCGACAAACCCCATCATTCAGAACACATGAATGCCAATATCGCTTATCAGAATTTGACTCAATCCAGTCTACTTTTGTACACTTCATCCCCAACTGTAATTACTGAAGTGTTTTCACTTTCTTTATTTTCTTAATAACACTGACATTGCCAAAGACAAGGGATTTATTCCTACAAGGGCTATCACATTGTCTTGTTGTAGTATAACATGATCTTTCCAGTAAATATCTCATGTTACATCGACTCCTACCTGCCATTGTTGAGCACATTGTCCACCACGTTCCGGGCGAACATGTCCTTGTTGACGTCTCTCTCCATTACAAACAGCACATAACTCAGCCTGCGTGCCAACCAGCCCCGCTGTCTGCATGCGCACACACAGACACATGTACCAATGAATATGAAGGAAAATATGACACATACTGTGTGTGAACATATATTAATACATGCAGTTAAATGATTTGTATAGAATATCATTTAGAAGCTGTGAACACACCTCACTGTCTGTCTCACTCACACACACTTAAAACAACAGGTATAATTTAACTCAATTAAAGAAATGACTGTCAGCTATGTTTGGTTTCACAGATTTCCTGGTAATTTAGCAGGAACCAGAGAGCAGCCCCGGCTGACATATCCATTACCTCGAGCTTTCACAACAATGACAATGGCTATGTTAAGGTCAGGTATCACAAAACTGATTGTACTAGACAAAACTAACAATACTAACTTATCCATATTGACTACAGCCCATGTTGGCTCCGGGATGTCTCCATTTACATGCTTATCAGTGCAGAGTAAAAACTAGATGTTAACTTATTTCAGCTGCAATTTGGTGCATGATGACAACTGCACCTTCATTAAGGTACTTGTCATGGACTGAGAAAGAGCAAGATGTCTGGATTAACATCAAGCTCATGTTTATATTGTTTGGGGCTGAGGCATCGAGATGTGTTTTCGAGTTTTGCCTGCTAAGGTCAGTCACTGGATGCATGTGTCCAGTGTCCACTGAAACACTTTAAATAATTCATCTGTCTTTCCAATGTTTCACAGATCAGTTTTCTTGACATATTATACACAGGTTGTTAGGAAGGCCAGCACCTGTCTGTAATGTATTGACTATACTATACAGGAGGAGTTTCAGCTCTTGCTCGTGTTGCAAGGCACAAAGGGAAATTAAAAGGTCATCAGATGCCAAAGCAACATGCGAAAGCTGGACTGCTCTGGGTAAAATACCATTGGAAGGAAGTGATACTGTAGCAGCAGATTTTGCTTTGGTTACCTGGTGTGGGTCTCATTGATGTAGATGACGTTTCGTAATCCCAGAGATGGAATACTGGGGTTGAACAGCCTCTCCTGCAACAAAACCAAAAATGATTACTAACAAGAAGAAAGAGATTAGAATCAACAACATAACTTGAACCCAGAGCCTTAGACACACTGACGGGTTTACTAATTTAAGCGATTAACATACTGAATACTAGGGTTAGGGTAATTTGTCTTTGACAAGTACTTAGCTCATTACAGAGCTTAACAACCTGAGGCCACCAATGTGACATCTTGGGAAGTTCCACAAAGTCAGTCTGCTCTGATTTTGCTTTGCTTTACTGCTTGTTATATTGTTATACAGTAATTCTTGTACTCATGCCAGAAGAATTAGTGCGTGCATTTCAATTTCATTGGCTTGGCACATTCAAATGTATTAACCATTTTGTTTTTACCATTGCAGCAGGAAAACTCACTACTCTGTAACTTTAAGTAGTGCTTTGCAAGTTTTTTAAAGAAATATGTTAAATATGTTAAATAGGTTTAAAAATACCTGTTGTCTGTGGGCTGTTGCTACCAATTTGAATGCCCCAGGAAAGTGTTTATAGCATCTTTTAGACAAATACCAAGCAGGATTTTCAGTCTGATCATGTAAATATTGTGAAAACTAGCAAACTGTTGCAAATCTTGCAAACTGTGATACTAAGCTTGCTTGAGCTTGGAATAAGAATGCACTTTAGAATTACACTTGAATATATAGAAGATGTGAAAGTCGTTTCTCCAAAATACATTTAAATGTTCAGTGGACTTCAGCCATTGAATAACAATAAATTGTTAATGGCAGATGCAGTCTACTGCGTATTGATCTCCTTTTTCTTGACGATAAACATTCACACTGGAAAAAGAACAATAAACTGGACCTGACTACAGTCCAGCAAATGAACTCATGGAGTTAATTAGCTGTGGTGTAACATTACCCAGCTCTGTGGTGTGCAGGAGTGACAGCAGCGGCCCACAAAGGGCCTCTTTCTGTTCAGCAGGCCCTCCTTCCACGTGCTGGTAACACAGCGCAGGACTGAGGGGCTGGTGCTGCGGTCCTTGAAACAAAGCCACACACAACAATCATTGAAGGTAAAGGACTAACACACCACACATCAAAGGGCCTGTTCTATATATGCATATGCAATGCTAAGACAAGATTAAATGGCTATGATCTGACAAGACGTGCAACGCTGATCCTATAATGGCATTAAGGAGATGAATAGATCTGGGTCTGTAGCTTACCGAGTCATCATTGGGATGCTTCCAGCGGTTACACCACTGTTCTCCATTGTTGACCTGCAGCAACAAGCCATCTGACAGCTCCATATTCTCTGCTGTCCTTTGCTCTCCCTCCAGATCACACACCACTAGCTGGTAAGCTGTCAAGACACAGGGATATTATCAGGTTTAATTTGAAATAATTTCAATATAGCCACCATTCCAGGCAATCTGCAAGTTTTCGTATTCTAAGCGCGAGTACTGTCATCAGATAACGTCTCAATTCACTTATTGTGTTGCACCACATGTCAGTCAGATCATACTTCACATTGACCACATGAGCATCTTAATGAGAAACTACAGACAAACCATGGGTAGATTACAGCAGGCTGAAAGTGAAATAAGGATGTCCAACTCCTAGTGTACTTACTGGCAATATTAGAGCACCTCATGATTTTAAACTCAAAGGTTTAATGATTTTTTTTTTATATTTATAAATGAACTACACCTCCTGTCAGTCTTACCCATGTGTGCTGTCAAAACCTCATGCACGATTAAGTTGTTGAATGGTAACAGAATAATCACCACTGCAGAGTAGTAGATGAAGCTCTCCAAAAGCTGCAACATCAGCTACCAAATGTCACCTGCCTCATTTTACCATAAAACCAAATATAGAAATGTGGGCCCCACCCACATGATGCATCACCCTGCTAGTATGAAGTAGTTAACTGAACACCTGTTTGCTCCTGTTAGGCCAGATTTTCCATTTACTTGTCAGGGTTACTTTGTTTTGCTCATCCCAGATACTCTGGGTACAATTTATTGGCTGGTCTACTGTGGTTCCAATAACTGACAACAATCCATTACACACCCAAACATCTGACGTGGAACAGCCTTTGTGAAAAACCAGGTGACAGGTGGCAATCTTACATAAAGATGAAACTATTATGTAACTGAAATGGCGGGATTTATTTAAATTGGTTTTTACCTTTTGCCTCACCCTAAGCACATTTCACTTGTTTAAGTCTTTGTCTTGTTTTGGTAGCACTTCTGCTTGTGAGCTATTTTAAATAAGAGGATGCTACACTCCACAAGAGGGGCAAAGACTTCCTCATTTTAACAAACACCAAAACATCTTCAAACACCTGACTTCCATACATGTCAACTTTAATCTCACACTCAAACAAACTTTGTCAAACTAAATTGTTTCTTCCATCCATCCATTTTCTACCGCTTATCCTCTAGTAGGGTCGCGGGCATCCTTTCGGGCGAGAGGCGGGGTACACCCTGGACAGATCGCCAGTCTATCGCAGGGCACACAGAGACAAACAACCATTCACTCTCACATTCATACCTATGGTCAATTTGGAGTGACCAATTAGCCTAGTCCCTAAATTGTTTCTTATTAAAGATAAATATTAATAAAGTGGTGTTCAATAATTTTGCCACAAAAACAAAAATAAAAAAATATTTTTTTTCAAAAGAAGCTGTAGTTCCATTACACTTACAGGTTACTTTTAGACAGTTTTCCTGTGAGTAAACAGTACTGGATGAGTTTAACTTCAGCTGATACTCTAAATTCAAAATGTCAAAAACACACCCCATCAAGTGGTGCAGCTCTGTCATACATCAGATAAGGGAACCTGGACCACTACACAGAGGAGGTTTGGGGTGAGTTACTATAGCACTATAAGGTTAGTTAACTATTACATGGATTCCATTATTCTAAACCAAAAATTATCTGCATTTAAACTGTGTACACTAAACATAAATATGCTATCACACCTTTGTGCTATGTGGTGCACAGCTAGTGTACAATCTTTAAATGGCTTCAGAAAGTTGATGATAGGATTATTTACCCAGATCAGGGCTGGGGTATTTTGACATTAGCTTTAGACTTTAGACTATATTGATGTATTTATTTTTGTTTTAGTTTATGTTGCATAATTGATTTATTTGACTGATGTTTTGTGATGATTTTCTGAGGATGAAAAATACAATTTCAGGTCATTATGTGACCTGAGATGACCACATAAACATCACACACATCACAGTATGTAGGTTATTGTCTTGCAAACCCTTTGTTACACTCGAGGTGTGTAGCACCTGGGCCCCAAATACCTACAAAGACAATAAAAAAACTCATTGCCGCGGTCTGCCTTTGGTTTCCCTGTTGTTTTCTGTCAAACTATAAACAGGTTACTGATCTGGTCTGACACACTGGACTTGGTTTGTTTGGTCCCCCATTCTAAATATTTCAGTGCTTTTGTAAAGATACTTATCTGAAGCCCTGTGCAGGAATGGCAACAGACCATAACCAACATATCCATCTTTGGATAATGTTAGGCTTTCCCTTCTACCAACATGTTAACTGTACTATGCACCAGTGAACTGTTTTCCTGACACATCACTATATCACTCAAGTCAAACATATATCCTGCACAGATTGCACAAATAATAGATCACAATAATATATGAATAAGTCAGATAGCATATTAAGGTTTTCCAAAAATCCGGATAAGGCCATATCTGGAGGTTCCTACGCAGGTCAAGAAGCTTACATGCACAGACACCTAATCAAGAGGCTGTTTTGTGCAGACTTGTCTGAATTGTTAACTGAAGCAATAATTCAAGTTTGAAAGCAAAAACACTCAAACTGCAAAGAGAACATGTTTGAAGTGAAAGTGAATATCACATATTCAGATTCCAAAGTGCTTAATACGGGTTTAAAGAAACTACTGGAAACAATAATTCACAAGTTTCATGATGAACATTTTGTTGTAATAAGGAAATGAAGCTACTGCTATACCAAACTATTTGCACATTAACAATAAATTGCAAATTGCATGTAGAGTCCAGTGGCCTACAGAGACATGTAAAAAGTGCAAAGAGAGTGCAAAGGTAATTAACAGAAAACAATGCAGCCAGTGGCCTTCATTAGTTTGGAAATGGGTTAGTGAGTCATTCTATGAATGAAGGCTCTCACACCAAACATTGTACAGCATGTGCATCAGTTAAGGGACAATGCAGCCCCATCTTTCTATGAATAATAAGCCCAAAGGAGACAGCTGATGTACACTGCTCTTGGCAAAAATGTTCCTGCCTAACTGGTGTCCAGCAGTGAATGAATGCACTTTGCACTGTTGTCTTCTTGTTGTGTTGTGATGGTAGTAGGTGATATGCACACTGATGAGGGAAATTGGGTTTTCAAAAGGGTGAATGACCGAGAGTACTCCACTTGATGGGGTGACTTTGTTGGAAGGAAAACAAAGAAGTTGAAGAATGAAGAACTGTGAGGATTAGGTAACAGGTGAAGGTAACCTTAATAGAACATAACTTTTCCATGCAAGTAAATATACTGGCTATTCTAGAGTAATACTATTATGACTATAATGTAATTTTTCTAGTCTTCACGTGACAAAAATGACTTATGTGATATCCATCTTAGCATCCAAATCATATCCAATCATAAGATTGTGTCAACATGATCAAGTTTAGAGCTTTTTAGGAGTGCACCAATAATGCTTTTGAAGCACATACCAATATCCAGTATTTATCCACCTACATCAGCTAATGCAGGCTTGAATCTTCTTTGCAGACAGGCACATATTAAGGAAACAATGGCTTTCCTTATGTTTTAGATTTCTTTTTTTTATTCTTACTAACTTTACAATCAAGAGACGCCTACCAAGAAAATATCACAAATATGGCACAATCTGCTAATTATCAAATTAAAGTGGACAAATACACGTTTTCAGTTTTTAAAGCTATTATCAAGGGAGACAGTCATCTCCAAAACAATCCGATTTTATTTTCCCTTTAGACCAGAGAAACACCCCTATTCATGCACACTGTACACGACTACGTTAATCCGTCTCACACGCTGTAAGCATAGGCTGCAAGCTGTCTGCAATAAGCAGGTCAAACAGGAGAAGTCTCTGTGTGACAGATGGGTCGTGCAAATAACTAGCAGTGCAGACAACAATGGCACAGTCCAGGCAGAATGATGTCTGGCTTTGTAACACAGTACACAGCGACGTCGTGTACGGATGAAGCTGCCATATCCACATAAAATCTGGTTAGATGGCTTTCGTGATAAGTTACTAAACCATGCTTTGTACAGTTTCTATCACTGCTTCTCTCTGCACATTGCATGGAATGCTGCCGAGCACGAATCACGATGGAGTCCATTTAACCTGACGTTAGATACGTTAATGAGTAAGCGCTTACCGTTAATTTAATTTGTATCAATGGAGCAGGGATGGCTAAGTCAAGGTTAGATGTAAGGTCCCATTCAATCAAGGGTCCTCTTGAACTCAATGTCAATGTAAAGTTAACCGGCTAACGTCATATTAGAGCATTAAAATAAGCCTAATGTGATTTGTCTATTACCAGTCATAAATGTGACCACGACGTCGTGTAGCTAATGTTACAATACAGTTATTGTTTCCATGACAATAAACGCATGGCGTTAGGAACAGTTACTTGTACATTGGCGAGGTAGCTAGCACTAGCTCGCTAGCGAGGCTCTCGAGAGCGAAATCTCACTTACCTTGAATATTGTGTTACGCTGACTCATATCTCAAAAATAAACTCGTCGACTAAATTGCAATCAGCTGTGAAAGGCTTCAACGCCCTTGAGTCTTCACACACTATCTACTCTCTCCTCCGAAGACCTCACGGCACAGCTCTGACAGACAGCGATGTGTGACAAGAGGAAGGAGCGTTGTTGTTTTGGGACAGCGGCCAAGTGCCAACGACGTAGTTCAGCCAGCAGCCAGAGGAGGGCAGCGTTCTGCAACTTGTTTTTACCTCATTCACATCAGCTGCAACTGGCTGGGAATAATGTTTCTGTCTGGAACTGTTGGATTAAACATTTTTATTATTTGGTGACATAAAACATACATGTGTGTTTCAATGTTATGTTGTAGCGCCTTTTAAAAATGCGCTTTTATTTGGAAGGGCTGTTATATTTTGGTTTTGCCACAAGAACTGAACCAAAAGGTTTTAAAACCCAGTTTCAACAATCTCTTGACAAAAACTGAAACAAAGGGACAATAAATAAATAAATAAATAAAACCCAGGTATTAACCCAAAAAGCGAATGTTTTAAAAATTGGAAGCATTGATCTAGTGCGTCCTCCCGTGGTCAGATATTAACATACATTTTATTGGACTGTACCACTATATTGGGGGGGCGGGGTGTCAATCAATACACTAAGGATTACTTTGAAGGCATAGTAAGCTATAAACACAAAATAAAATATGTCACAACTAAACAACATTTCATTACTTGCTATGACTACTCAATTGATGCCTATATTTACAATTTAATGATACTGCTATAGTTGAGTCACCCATGACAATAGCTATAATGGTAGGGACTCAAACGTTCTATTTCCTCCGTTTCTATCAAGCTAGCGGCAGCCATGAGGTGAGATACACGTTTGATGGTTAAATATGTTTTTATTCTAAACAAACAGTTTAAACTGTTGTTGGGTTTGCAATTTAAAACAAGAGGGAAGACTCTGGCTGTGATCAACTTGGAGTAAATTCGTCCTTTTATCCCAGAAAGTATGTAGGGCCTATTTTGGTGAGCTAACCTAGCGCTAACCTAGTGCTAACCTAGCTAAGTTAAGGCATGTCACAACATGCTACTGAAACGCCACAAGTCCTTAGCGTCGAATCAGCTGGCAACAACACAATCTTTTAGCGTGTTTGTCGGTGTTAGCCGAACAAGCTGATCAGTAAAGTACGTTAAATTAAATAAACAAGCTATAATAAAAGAAACAATTTGAATACATTGTTATAAGTATGTGTTTTTTTTTAATTTTACGTCCAGTTGTCAAAGGCTATCCTTTAACAGTAATGTAAACACATCAATATCATAGTCACCAATCTGCCACCTCCTATCAAACCTGATGAACGACAAACTGGCTGTGGCTGCCGATCCACCTGAGTGAGAAAAAAGGAAAATAGATCGTTGCAGCAATTGAAATTGCAAAGGACTCGTTCTCTTAAGAATGACATTGGTACCTAGCGGTACTTGGACATATTTGGACATCCGGGTGCAATCGTTTAATTAAATGCCAGATGAGCTTGCACCTGTGCTGTCACATGGGTACAATTTATGGTAATCCAACAACAAAGACTGATGATAGAAAACTATACATCGAATTGGGGTTTATGAGAATACGTCTGTGTTTTGCACGTTTCTTTCTGATCTTTTATGTATGTGTTTTGTTTATTTGTGTATCAGGTTTTGAAAAGTGCAATCGAATAAGCTCGCTTGCTATTAACTTTTCTTGCAGTACTATAGTGAATGAAGTGTCTAGCCATAAAATTACCATACTATAGTTCATTTAGAAACCTGGGTCATATTTAAAGTATTCTTTAGCATTATATTTTCATACAAGACTCTATAGATGTCATTGCTGAGAGGTCTGTGGTTTAAGCAAGGAGTTGAAAATGTCAAATCAAATCAAATGCTACACCACTACTTTCTGGAATATGTTGTTAGACAATTACATGCATCTCACATCCTGCAAAGCTAATATTTTCTCTTTGTCTATCCAGCATGCTCAGGCTCCAGAAGCGCTTGGCCTCCAGCGTCTTGCGCTGTGGCAAGAAGAAGGTTTGGCTGGACCCCAATGAGACCAATGAGATTGCCAATGCAAACTCTCGTGAGTTCTTTACTTGGCCTTTGAGAGTGCTTTCTCTGTAAATTTGTAATCTGGGCCCCTTAAACTAGCTCATCCTCTGTCTATATTGTATTGTGTTTGTGCTGCAGGCCAGCAGATCCGAAAACTGGTAAAGGATGGCTTGATCATCAGGAAACCTGTGACGGTCCACTCCCGTGCTCGCTGCCGCAAGAACACACTGGCACGCCGCAAGGGACGTCACACTGGTTATGGTACGTAATAGACTCACAAGTAATGTTCCTTTCCATTTCCACAATTATTCAAAATATATCATCTAAACACACATTGAATCCCATGCTATCATTGTGTAGTCTTAGAAAACTTTTTATTCATTTCATAATTTATTTAATTAACCGTTTTCTTTCTGCCCCAGGTAAGAGAAAGGGTACAGCCAATGCCCGTATGCCAGAAAAGCTGTCATGGATGCGGCGCATGAGAATCCTGCGTCGTCTTCTCCGTCGTTACAGGGAGTCCAAGAAAATTGACAGGCACATGTGAGTATGAATTTTAGCGCTCGTTTCTTGTAAATAAGAGTCGTTTAAATTACAATTTCAGGAAGAGTTCTTCTTCTTTGAGGGACTCTGAGGGTATTTTCTGTTTCCACCAGGTACCATAGTCTGTACCTGAGGGCCAAGGGTAATGTCTTCAAAAACAAACGCATCCTGATGGAGCACATCCACAAACTGAAGGCAGATAAGGCTCGCAAGAAGCTTCTAGCGTAAGTTGCTCTTTCATTTTTTATATTTTTATTTTAAGATTTTATTCATTTGACCTATCTGGAAGAGTCCATGTGTAATGACATTTTTGTTAATTTTACGGTGAACTCATTTTCTTCTCTGTCCCCACCTTCCTTTACCCATTCAGTGACCAAGCTGAGGCTCGGCGCTCAAAGACAAAGGAGGCCCGCAAACGCAGAGAGGAGCGCCTCCTGGCTAAGAAAGAAGAGATCATCAAGAACTTGTCAAAGGAGGAAGAAACTGCAAAGAAGTAAATCTAAACTGAAATTTCTCTTTGTCAGATTCCTCTTTTTGTTGTTAATAAATTTGGATAAAAGTGAATAAGTGCCTTGTGATTATTATTGTCTGTTTGGTGTCAGCTCTGGTCCTGGTATTAAGTGACGTGACATGAGGGGATGCAAGGTAGAGTAGAGGAGCACTGTTGTGGTTGCCAATCCTGTAGTGTAGTGCAGCAATTTCACTTCAAAACGGTCATTTCTTTTGCTGACAGCCTTCAGCTTTTTTTTTTATTTTTTTTTTTATATAAACAGTCCTGAGCTTTTTTTTCTGTATGCGTTTAGTACAGAAATTTGGTTCATATGGCTAAGAAAATGCTGTCCATACTGTACTTTACTGAACTAGTGTCCTCAATAGTCCAACAGGTGGCAGTAGAGCACAAGTACCATAATCTGGTCATTACATCAGATGTCTACACTTCAGTCATCCAGACGTTTAAAACAAAAGGTTTCTACTGATTTCATAAACGACCTAATAATCTGTTTTGTCACTCATCGCGGGGGCTTCATCAGTTTCATGAACAGCATTCAATCACAGTTGTATAACCACACCAGCAGACAGCTGTCAGACTCAAAGATACAGTTTCTGGGCAATACAATAGTAACAATGAATACTACAAGACAAAATGAACATGCTGTACATGGCTGTAAACGGAGTTACAACAATGTGTCTGCACGAACTATGCTCCCTATGCTGCATTAAAGAAAAGATTATCTATCACTATTTATTAAATGTACTTTTATGGGGAGTAATTCAATAACAAAACTGAACAAAAATTGTCAAAGCGTTTGATGCACCTCATGTTTCAGTGTGGACAAATGACTTCTCATCTGTTGCAAATTTTCCCATTCTGACACACAGATGAACCCAAACAACTAAGTTAATATCTCTATTAATAAATGATTTTGATCATAAATTATTCTCTCCACTTCACATACCTGACGGCAGGTAACAAAGCCAGAGCAGCCGAAACAGCTGGATCACACCAGCCACATTAAACACCGTGCTGCTGACGCTCCAGTCATCCAGTCGTTTTCACTTCCTGCTCAGGCTTTGAAGGAGTCTTTCTTTCATGGTCCCTGGAGAAGGTGTGACAGAAGTGTTTGCAGACACATTCATCGCTAACTGGTTCAGACAGGCTGCTGTGTGTATGTGTGTGTGTCTGGATATGAGAGAAAGTTGGGGGTGGGGGGGGGTTCTCCACAGGTCAATGCAAAACAGATTATATTCAGCAATTCAGATCATATGAGAATGGCACCTTTGTTTTAGTGACTTGAATTTCTTGATATCTGATGGAATAGAGGCAGATATACTAATGACATATTATAGTCTAGAAATACAAACTACACTTATATTTAGACTTTAAGACTAAGATCTCAGGGGTTGATCCTCCTTAGTTTTCTCCCACAACTTGCCCTAAAGGGTCAGGTGTCTACCTCTTTTAACTCTGGGTAGTATTAACGCCTGTTTGTGGATCGCTTACCATCATGCATAAACAATAGGACATTTGAGCTTTAGAAGCTGACAGTGAAGAGCCTTCATATTTAAAATCTGGGTTTCAAAGGCCTTGAGGAGCCACGATGAAGGCTTACGCAGCATAATGCATCTGCTTACCTTGTCATCCTGATTTCATTTTTGTTGCACAGTAGCTTCACATACTGTTACCTTACTGAAAAATGCAGTTTCACTAAATGTAATCATCACTGTGGTGTATGTGTGTGTGTATATATATATATATATATATATAAAAAGACAAAACCAGCCATGTAAATCACTGTGAGATCTACAGAAAGATGTCGTCGGGATTACTGAAGGAGAAAACAGGCTTTGTGCAGTGAGGCCATTTTGTCGCTCAGTTAATGTATTTCTTCATTACCAGGAGGCACTCCTATTTCCTGAAGCGTGAGCCTTAATGGGATTAGATAAGGAAAGGAATATGATCTGAAATGAAGCAGCGCTCTTTATTACACTTGGCCTTCAACCCAGGCAAAAACTCCAGAGTTCAGGAG